GGTACCAAGTCCCAAATGCAAGTCCAAGTCTTTGGTACCAAGTCCTGAGTCCCAAGCCCCAAATCCCTATTAAAAGCAAGTTTTTCCACCCAGAAAAAAAGGAGGGGTGGGTGAATTCAAAGTTGCAAATTAAGTCCGTGTCATTGAAAAACAACAACAACCAAAAACCCAAGTTGAGTCTGAGTAAAGTCAACTGGAGTGACTTAGGTTTGACTTAACAGTGGGCCCTGCAACATGAGTCCCCATCTCTCACCTTGAGTCTTGTGTCCAGTTCTGGACACCACACTTCAAGGAGGATGCTCACAAATTGGAACAAGTTCAGAGGAGAGTGACAAGGATGATCAGGGGGCTGGAAGAAAGGCTGAAAGAACTGGGCATGTTTAGCCTTGAGAAAAGAGGACAGAGGGGTGATATGGTAGCACTTTTCAAATACTTGAAAGGCTGTCATACAGAGGAAGGGGCAGGGTCTGTTCTCGATCATCCCAGCATGCAGGATGCAGAACAACGGGCTCCAGTTACAGGAAACCAGATTTTTGATTGAATGTCAGCAAAAACTTCATAACTGTTAGAGCAGTAAGACAGTGGAACCAACTATCTTGGGAGATGGTGAGCGCTCCAACGCTGGAGACATCCAAGAGAAACTTAGACAACCACCTGGCGGATATCCTTTGATTTGTATTCCTGCATCGAGCAGGGGTTCGACTTGGTGGCCTTTTAGGCCCCTTCTAACTTCATTATGCTAACAACAGTATGCTAAGAATTATAGAAGCTATTAGAACTCATTGCAATCTTTGTATTCCTGCATCGAGCAGGGGTTCGACTTGGTGGCCTTTTAGGCCCCTTCTAACTTCATTATGCTAACAACAGTATGCTAAGAATTATAGAAGCTATTAGAACTCATTGTACTCTTTCTTTATCCACATCAGAGTTCTGCACAATGTGACATTATGGATGTACAGTATATGATATATTAGCATGTTTGCTGTGCAGCGATTCTGGAAGCGAAGGATTGGCCCACTGCACGTCGTTGTTCAGGGGATGCTTGGATGTACTCACAATGTATTCCACTCTTCAGTTAGGCTCCTTTTATGTCACTGTAGTAATAATTTATTTATTTATTTATTCATTCGATTTATACCCCGCCCCCCTAGACAGCGTCTACTCGGGGCGGCACACAAAATCATAAAATATCATTAAATGACAATAAAAATATTACAGTCATAGTCAAAGACAATCATAATCATAAAAATTTAAACAATAATACAGTATGATCAAGATGGGGAATGAAAGAACAGAAAGATAGAATTCAAGAATTGACAGGAGGGAAGGCCTGCCTGGAGAGCCAAGTTTTTAAGTGGCTCTTAATAATAATATAGTAATAATAATAATATAGACACGTTAATGCCACTACTAGAAGAAACACATTGTTTTCAGTTTGATGATCTGAAGATCTTAGACTGATGATGAGCCATCATGTACACCCATTAAGGTTCTCCATGAAAATGCACCTATGTATCTGAACATCATGTCATGTGCATATTGTGATTTCTTCCCCCCACCCTTTCTTCATCTTTTTACCAGGTATAATCTCAAGTGTTGTCCCTCTATATATCGGTGAGATTGCTCCTAGAAACCTGAGAGGAGGCGGTGTCACAATACCCCTCCTTTTTTTGAACATTGGTGTGCTACTGGCCCAAATAGCCGCTCTTCGCGAAATCTTGGGCAATTCAAAAGGTACCTGGATGAAGTGACCCCTTTGGCTTGTAGGAGCTCAGATAATACCGCCCCTGTTGTTCACTGTGTTTCTATCATTGCTTCCTCTTCTTCCAAAGGTTTGCCATTCCTTCTGGGCCTGTCTGGACTCCTGCCGTTAACTGAGCTTGCCTTGCTGTTCTCATGTCCTGAAAGTCCGAGGTACCTTCTGATTCAGAAAAGGGATGAAAAGGGCGCAAGAGAAGGTAGAGTATCTAAAATATAGAGAGAGCTGATGGCTGACCCACCGTTTTCCTCAGATCTTCTCACGATAGCTCGCTCTTAGAGCAACACCACAAATGATTGTAGGATCCCCATATTTGCAGGGGGATCCAAGCCTATCCACCCCTAGACACTAAAAAATGCAGATTATAGCAATCACTATAAACGCCTGGCCTCCTGTGGGAGGAAGCTCAGAATCTGGGAGCAGCGACAAAGAAAGCCTTCTCCCAGGTCCCCACTAAACATGTCTGTGATCTTAATACAGTGGTGCCTCGCATTATGACGTTGATTCATTCCAGCGAAATCGCTGTAGAACGAAAACGTCATAATGCGAAAATAAAAAAACCCATTGAAATGCATTGAAACCCCTTCAATGCATTCCAGTGGGCTGGAAACTCACCATCCAGCGAAGATCCTCCACAGGGCGGCCATTTTCAGTGGCTGTCTTGTGAGGGATCCGCCCCAGAAAACAGCAGGGAGCCATTTTACTTACCCGGTGGCCTTTTTGAAACCGCCGATCAGCTATCCGGAGATCGTCATTTTGCGAAGAATCGGTTCCCGAAGCAGGAAACCGATCATCGCAAAGTGAAAAAAACCTATTCAGACCATCGTTTTGCGATCGCAATTGCGATCGCAAAAAGATCGTTGTAATGCGGTTTTGTCATAATGTGGAGCAATCGTAAAGCGAGGCACCACTTTACCTGGGTAGATTCATAAAGGGAGATGCAGTCTTTCAATTTTTTGCCTGGAACTGCTACACAACATGGTTCCTATAAATGTCCCGCCATTTATTGTGCAGCCACTCTGCCACTGTTCCCATTCAGCCTTGAAGAATCTAAGGGAGAAGAGAAATGTGGAGGATGAGATCGAAGAGCTCCGACAGGAGGACCTCGCCGAGAGGACCGAAAAGGCCATGACTACTTTTAGGCTGCTATCAAACCAAAACATGCGATGGCATGTCATCACTATCGTTGCCTTGATGGCCGGGCAGCAGCTTTCTGGCATCAATGCGGTAAGGAAGGCCAAAATGTCCCAGAATGACAAGAACCCAATCTAGGTTTGGTGCATATTGAAGTTCTCAGCACAGTGCTCAGAGGTGCCACTATGTATCGGGAATCTGAATATATATGAAATAACAGTACTGGCTTCTATCTCACTACCATATTGGTACCCCACAATGCCTCTGGGTTTCGGTGACAGAGTGGTTTACTTAGAGGTACTCTGGCCCTCTGGAAACAATGGCAGAAGAAGTATGATGGATGCTGCCTGAAGTGGTATCACCATTGATGCTGGTGGATGTGGGGCCAATGGGGAAAAAGATGGAGCAAGGTGCAGAAATCAACATGAGGTCAGAGGAGGCTGAGACACCCTGATGGGCTTTGGGAAGGTGAATGATAGTTGAGGCTCAAATTGAGAAGGATGGATGTGAGGAAGAAAGGAGGAAGATGGTTACCTGGGACATCCTGTGGAAAGGATGGGGTGGCCATAAGAACATAAGAGGCCTGCTGGATCAGGTCAAGGGCCCATCTAGTCCAGCTTCCTGTATTTCACTGTGGCCCCACCAGATGCCTTTGGGAGCACATGGGACAACTAGATACAGTGGTGCCTTGCAAGACGGGTGCTCCGTTTAACGACAAATCCGCATTACGAGGGTTTTGTTGCGATGTTTTGAATGGGGGAATTTCATTGTGCGATGATCGGTTCCCTGTTTCGGGAACCAATTTTCGCTTCCCGACAATCAAAACAGCTGATCGTCAGGTTTTCAAAATGGCCACTGGGTGCTCAAAATGGCTCCCAGCTGTGTTTAGGAGCCATTTTTCGCTGCACAGGCACCCGAAAATGGCCGCCCCTATGGAGGATCTTTGCTGGATGGTGAGTTATTAGCCAATTGTTAAGCATTAGCCAGGTTTTAATGCATTTCAATGGCTTTTTAATTTTTTGCTTTACAACGTTTTTGTTCTACAGCAATTTCGCTGGAACGAATTAATGTCGTAATGCGAGGCACCACTGTACCTGTCTCCTGATACCACTATCCTGCATCTGGCATTTGAAGGTCTCTTCCTTCTAAGCCTGTAGATGATACATCCCCATCATGGCTTGTCACCTGCGATGGACTTTTCCTCCAGAAATCTCTCCAATCCCCTTTTTAAAGGCATATAGGCCAGATGCCATCACCACATCCTGTGGCAAGGAGTTCCACAGACTGGCAACACGCTGATTGAGAATTAAACTTTTTCTCAGGATATAAGCCGAGTTAGGAGATATCAGGTTGCAAAGACACTATAACACTGAGAGAATAAAATTCAACATATTCTATTTATACATATATAGAAAGCATAGATTTCAGACATTCAACTGGTGGCATAACATAGCATGATATAATAGGTATTACAGAAATAAATGATCTGACCTACAGCAGATACCGTGTCCCATTTACACATATCTTTTATACATCTAGGGACCAGTCAGAAAATACATTACATTGCTTTCTCCAGCTGTACAACATCAAGTATATTTAACCTTGGTGCACACCTGAATCTACTTAGCACATAACATGACTCAGGTTAAATCAGCCATTTGACTTTCAACTATACAACATTTTATTTAATGCATTTTCAGATCAGAATCTCAACAAAAGAAACATTTTCTTTTGTCTGTTCCCATTCTCCCAACACTCAATTTGAGCAGATGCCAATGTCGAGGGGCCATGACCAGTGGCAGAAACGAAGCAGCTTCGGCTGCGTGCGGATGGCTGCACAGAGGGTAACAATGAGAAGGAAAGAAGCTAAAATAAAACTTACTTCTCTAGGACTTCTCTCAGAATACTACCAGATTAAGCATAGCCAAAACTGAAGCTTCATTTCCCTCCATGCTAAGAGTTTGAGTTATTCTGATTCCAGGCCTACTATTATACAGAGAGGATCTACATGTCTACCAAAGTGGGAGCCGACAACGTCCGGTATATTGCCATCGCCTCAACGGCTGTTCTCTGCATCTCCATTTCTTTAGCGGTGAGCTTCTCCCTCCCTTCCTCTCCTGCTCTCTTGAGACCTGAAACCTCACGATTCTTTGAAGGACAAAGCTTCACGTCTTACTTCTCTACCAGTGTTATGCCAACACCATTGTGACGCCATCCCTCAGAGAAGCCCGGGACCTCTAGTTCCCTCAGAAGTCTCTCGGTTTTCTTTGCAAGAGGTCCTTTCCCAATCCGGGGTCACTCCAAATGTGTTTGGAATGCAATTGTAGAACTCCAATCCTTTATATTTGTGTTCCTTGACCCAAAGGTGTGGCAACCTTTGTGGAAAACTGAGCACTACTTTCCCATACATCATATTTGCACGGAAATATTTATTTAATTAATGGCTTAATATGACTTTACCAACAGCACCTACTATGCTTAACATAATATGTTATTACTTTTCCACTGACTTCCGCCTCCCTTCTTCAAGGGGGCTTCGGCTTTGTTGCTGTTGTGCTCGACTACGGTTAACGGCTGTTTTTCCAAAATGCTCTTCATGTTGTTTAATGTGTGGTTTACTGATTTATTTTTTTAAAATCTGATTTTGTTGATTCATCATCTTCCATCTCCTTTCTAAGTTCTAAATGGCTTTGGGTGTCTCAGATACTATCTTGTTCCACACAGTCCTCCCACCAAAACCTAGTCATTATTTTGGGAGTAAGCTTGAAAACAGGTGAACAAGTCATGCGAAGAGGTGCTTCCTTGACTGGAAAAGAACATCCGTTTGTCTCCTCCCTATATCTTGCACTCTCAGTGAACTTTGTTATGATTGGTTATTGGAAGATAAACAGGGGCTAAATTTGCAAATCCTGTGGACAAGGTATAGATCTCCAGGAAAATCCAGTTATGGGAGGGGGAAAAAAAGATTAACTGTAAGAAAGACATATTTTCTGCAAAGTGGAAGTCAGCCCTGGAGCGCTATTTGAAATTCTTGGGCCTCATAAAGCCTCAAGGTTTAGAACCTTCTCTGTCTTTATGCCCGCCTGTAGGATGATGTTTGTGTAGACTTTCAAAACTTGCTCATGAAGAAAGTGTTTGGTGAAAAGTTTTTAACAACCTCAAGTATTCCCTGTGGTTGCTGTTTGCCCTGCTCTTGTGGTGACTTTATGTGTGGTTTAAAATTTCTGATTCTATTGATTCATCATCTTCCATGCCCTCTCAGGGAAATGAGCAGGATGTAACCCTCAAAAAATAAAAATAAAATAAATAATAGAACAATTATCCTGACATACTTTTATTTTTATTTCTTTTATGGTAGTAAATGTGGCCTTCCCTCACTCCTATTTTATTCTCTCAAGAAGGCTCTATATGGTAAGTCAAGTCCGGAGACACAGCAGTCTTTGACCTGAGTGCCAATTGAATGGTCCAGGCCCCAGTTTGGAGTGCAAGCTGCTATTCCTTGCTTTCTCCTCATGGCATTTCTGTCACTCATGTCTTGGCATTTATATTCTCTAGGTGACTCTTGCTGATTCCATGGGGCGAAGGTTTCTGCTCCTGATTGGATTCGGAATCTGTAGCATCATATGCATTCTCATCACCATGACCCTTGAAATGCAGGTCTGTACAAAGCAATTCTGCCAATGTGTGGACTCCCATCACAACTAGGTCCCCATACCACAAACTGCAATTTAAAAAAAACCTTTTGGCCACTAGAGGGCATGACAAGTTATTTCTGTAAAAAAAAAGTTATTTTAAGAAGTGCTTGGGGTGGATGGGGCGTGAGAACAGGTGTGGAATTCTTCAAGTTGCAAGACCGGGTTTGCGTGGGGAGGGGGTTTACTTATCTGTCATACATACAACCAATGCTTAATAGCACCCCAAATCAAGACATGAACTGCAAATTTGATCTAAGATGCATAGGAACAGGGCATTTCGGAAAGGCTGACTTTCTGTCGGACACATGTAAAGAAAAATACATGGGACAAAAGCTGGAATATAAAGTCCCTTAGTTAGTCCCTTTCAGTTTTGTGAAAAAGCATGCAGGGGATGATAAAGAAAGAATGGAGGCCCTCATTTTCAGATTCCCCTCCTGCCCTGGAAAGTAACTTTGATTTTAATTTTTGAGACAAAAAAATCATCTCTACATTTTCCTTAGCATTTTTTGTTGGATTTTTTGAGACAACCATGCTATGGAAGAAAAGAGAGGACACCCATTGTAAGAAAGAACACCTGGAACTCCCACTCGTGCATAGTGATCTTGAGGCTACTTCAAATTTGTTTCCCTCTTGATTATTTCCATATCTCACCATGCTAAGACCTGAATCAGTGAGATTTCAGCTTTCCATGAAAGCAGGGCTTCAGTCTCATTTCTCTCTCCTTTTAAAAACCTTTTTAGTTTGCTTTTTTTAACAGAGATCTGCCAAACTGCGCACAGCATAATGTCTTTTCCAGTGAATCCTGCATAGGAAAGATACCACTCTGTGCCGAAATTCTTATTTTATTTGTTCATACATCTATATTCCACCCATCTAGTGCCAAGGAACTACTCTGTGTGGCTCATAACAGTTAAAAGACCACAACCCAGTCCCCAGATTTTTGTGTGCTAGACTCCCCTTGGAATGTTGCTTGTGGGCAGGGAAGTAATCACTACTCATCAAGTAGCAAAATTTGCTCTTGTGGGCAGGGAAGTAATCACTACTCATCGGGTAGCAAAATTTGCTCTAGCAGCAAAGAAGGTATGTGCCAAGCATCAAAAGTCCTAAGGAAGGAGTGAAGCTATCTCTGAAGTATGTGCCAAGCATCAAAAGTCTTAAGCAAGGAGGGAAGCTATCTCTATGTATGTATAAATATGCATTGTTAGTGTTGTTCTTTTGTGTTGTTGTTTATATACTGTTTCGACCTATAGTTTTAAAAAACAAAGCTTGCCACGTATGTAATGATCCTGCGCAGCTTGGTGTTTCTTCTCATCCCCCGCTAATAATAGTAATAAAAAGATGAATAATGACACAACTCAACTTCCAAGAAATCCTGAAAGAATTCCTATGAAATTTCTCCCAAGTAGGAGGTGGGTGGACAGGAATCTATCACAGAAAAATCTTACTGCAAAAGATAGAAGTGTGATCTCTCTCTCTCTCTCTCTCTCACTCGCTTTCTCTCTCAGAGCAAAAAATAAAATCTTACTGCAAAAGATAGAAGTGTGATTTTTCTCTCTCTCTTGCTCGCTTGCTCACTCGCTTTCTCTCTCAGAGCAAAAGATTGTGAACGCGACATCTCTCTCATCATGCACAATTAAAATTGTGGTCATTTTTCCTGTAACAGGACACTATCCCGGAAATGACATATGTCAGCACCATTTTAGTGGACACCTTTCTCTTTGGACACACCTTGGGGCCAGGTAAGGCCTTGGACTGAGCTTCATGGGTGAAGGACATGTTATAAAGGACTGAGCTTCATGGGTGAAGGACATGTTGTAAAAGCCAGGGGGCCCTCCTGAAAGAGCCATCCCTCAAGGAGGTAAGAGGGATGGTTTGTAGACAAGGGCCTTTTTGGCAGCTGCCCCCTCCTGATGGAGATTCGTCTGGCGCCACCGCTGATTACGTTTCGGCGCCAGGTCAAAACCTTCCTGTTCCAGAAGGCTTTTAATTGAAATAATATCCACTGTGGGTCCTGATGGCAATTTTTAGAGCACCATATTTTTAATTGTATTTTAATTGTTTTATCTTTTTATTGTATTCAGATTGTTGTAAGCCGCCCAGAGACCTTTGGGTAGTGTGGGCGGCATATGAGTTAAATGAATGAATGAATGAATGAATGAATGAATATTCAAGGATGTGAATTTTTCTCTGTCTACACAGGGCCTGTGCCTCCGGTCCTTACGGTGGAGCTATTCCTTCAGTCGGCCCGTTCTTCCGCATTTGTGATTGCAGGATTTTTGCAATGGCTCCTTAACTTTTTTACAGGAGTGTCATTTTATTATATAGAGGTGAGTGTTTTGAAGATCAGTTTAGAGGTAATGCATGGATTGCGTAAAGAAAGGAAGTTCGGCCCCATGTGCCATGTTTTCTTAAAAAAATAACCTAAACTAAATTCAGGGATAACTATACAGGCACTTGCCCTGCTGTTTGGTCCACTGTGGGAAGGAACTGGGTTCACTCCTTCTGTCGTGATCACATGACATAGTTGCTGGAGTGAACCATCCCACCCCCAGAACATACTTTTCTGGGTCCCTGTCAGGGGATACTCTTTTTTAGTTGTGTGTAGGATTGGGTTTGTTTCCAACATGTGCAATCACTGGGAGATAAGAGTGATTTTGGGGAGATTTTTTTAAATTTCAGGGTTTTCTTAGGGGTTATGTTGTCCAAGTAGTGGCTTCTCAAATTAGAGTTTAGATGTTAATTGTAGTAAGCCCTGGTTTCCTCCATGGTCAAAGTCAACCAACCAGAAAATATGGAGAAGGAATCTTTGGAAGAGCCATATGTTTGCTTTCAGAGTATCTGGGGCCCAAATCCAGGCTTTTAGAAGGCTTATGGCTACTGTTGACTGCCCATCTTCATGTTCCAGAGGTCTCGTGAGGCACAGAAATGTGCTGTATTTGTGGTATTGAACCTCAGATCCTGAGACTGACAGAGAGAATTCGGCCTCTTGATCATGTTCAGTGCAAAGACCCTCACCTCTTGCTTTTTCTTTGGGGACTCACTTAATAGAACAGCAAGACTTCTTTCCTCTGTCTGAAATTGTTATTTCCAGCCAATGAATTGGGTTATAAATGTGGATTTTAGCCTTACCCTTATACCAGCCTCCAGCATTGCGTGTGAGGAATTAAAAAGAGAGGGGTGAAAGTTACCTTGAGCTCTCTGTGGGGAAATGAAGGGTATGTAAATAACCCGTGCGTCTCTCACTTTTCCCTTCCTCTTTTGCAAAAACTAGACACGTATCGGACCCTACAGCTTCCTCATCTTCTGGCCTATCTGTGTAGCCACCTTTTCTTATGTCTTCAAGATGGTTCCTGAAACAAAGGACCGGACATTTCTGGATGTCAGGAGAATCATGGCCATCCACACAGCCAGGAAGATCCAGGTCCAGGCGCCGGCGGGCAAATAGAATCTTGGGCACTGTTCTTTGTAATTTTGATTTATTTGTTTTGAAATTCATTTTTTAAAAAAACAAAACAAACAAACAACAACTCAGCAACACCAATGGAGTCCTTCCTGTTATCTTTGGATTGTCCTAGCTTTGTTGACAAGGCGAAAATGGCGGGTTTCGTTCTGGTTTAAAACAACAACTTCTATTCATTTTCAGTTTGCACTGCTCTGATGCTGTGAAAGGAAGAACATTTCAAAAAAGTAAAGACCTTGAAAGCCTGAGCAGATGTTTTTGAAAACTGTTCAGCACTATGTTACAGCCTAACCATAGGAAGCTACCCAATCTGGCACCTATTGACCCACATTCTGTAGATCAAGGGTTCCCAATGTTGAGTAACCCAGATGCTCTTGGACTGCAACTCCCAGAAGCCCTGGCCAGCACAGATGGTGGTGAAGACTTCTGGGAGTTAGAGTCAAAGAACACTTGAGTTACCCAAGGTTGGGAAACATCAGTAGAGCACTCACAGCGTAGCAGAGCAATTCAACAAGCAATCAAACCTTTGTAGCTGACTGTCTGTCATGTTCTGCTTCAGGAAATTACCCTGAGCCTTCTTGCAGACCTGGAGGCTTGATCAACAGCCAGAGAGAAGTGAAAACTGCTTGTATATATATCCCCTTAGCCATCTGGTGTTCTTAGATAGGGTTCTCCCTACTGTGTCACTATCGTAGGAAAGGAAACCCACTAATATTACTAAGGGAATGTCAATTTCTTGCAAAATCCTATTACATAACTTACGCCTGCTGAAGAGTGAAATCACCAACAGAAAGCAATCTTCTGTAATTGAAAGCTTCCTACTTTTGTCCCACAGTTTTCCTGACTCCAGTGTGATCAAATCACATGGAAGCTGTGGGACAGAAGAGGATGGTGTTTTGTTTTGTTTTATAATCAGGGTTCTTGCTCACATAATGAGCCTAAACATGAGCAGGATCTTTCTCCTCTTTAATCACATCCTTGTTCACATGAGCAAAGTGGCAAAGTATATGTACTGGGCTAGTCTCAACCTTGAAGCCATGCTGCTGATTCTCAGAGAACAATTGCCTAGCACTGAGGGTGGCCTCATTCTGCTACTATCTTAACTAATACCTCATCACATCTCTTTTCTTCCTTTTGTTAAAACCTGATGGAGAAATTTAGTAACCCAATATCCGATATCAGGAACATACCCTTTTATTTCCACGCAAAAGATTTTTTTTAAAAAAGATCTAATTTTATCTAGTAAAGGAACTAGAAAATTAATTATACAGAAGATTAGTATGACTGTCTTGTAATAAATGGACACTGTGGAAGACATGAGTGATTGAAAATGTAATATGAATCAGACCTCTTCCAAACTGGAACTCTTAATATTTATATGATTCATTTAATAGAACTCCAATTTATTTGGGGGTACATCCATATTAATAAGTAGCCAAGTATCCTGCTCTCAAATTGACCGTATTTGAAAGAGCTTCATTATGCCCAGAATTATTTAAGAGCTGTGCACATGCTCTCTCTCTCTCTCTCTCTCTCTCTCTCTCTCTCTCTCTCTCTCTGTGTGTGTGTGTGTGTGTGTCCCCTGTAATGTATCTAGTTTGAGTGGGTAGTCTATATCCCTTTAAGAAATATCACTCAAAGAATAAAACAGGCTGAGTTTGGACAGAGTTTATGTTGCTGCACTTCTGGGTTTCTAATTCCATTTTTGGGGGTTTGGGATGAAGTGATGCATCTTAAAGGAGAGTAAAAGAGGTGGTGAGTCCTGAAAGTTTTCTGAAAATCCAAAAAGAGGGCATGAAGCTAAAATGTTTGGCAATGAGTATTTTAATATAATACGAGACATATATAATGCCAGACATGTACTGAGCACAAGATAAAGTGAGATATGAGAGCTTTCAATCCGGGATAGTAGATTTTTGTACAAATCTCTCAAAAAAATTACTTTAGGGAAAGCAAATTTCGCCTTCCCCAACCATAAAAATATCTCTTAGAAATGATAAGTTAGGGAGACAAATGTCCATCAATGTTTTTTTTTAAAAAAGAATCAGACAAGGCCTCAAACTCTGCACCAAAGGGGTCTAGCTGAGAAATGCCTGAACACATTTCTTTGAAATTAGTCAAACGTCCTTCAGAAAAAGCTACTGCACAAGCACATATTATTTAAGTCTGTCCAAAAGAGAAAAGAACAGCTGTTGGATGAAGATACACGAAGTCCAGAATTTACTGGGGAAAAATGTGGTTTCAGTCCTGAAAGGAGGTGGCTTTCTAAGTATGCTGGGTTAAAATGACCCTCTTTCCAAAGTAGCTTGATCTCAGCTAGGCATGTGTGGTGGACCCAATGTGTTATATTAGATTAGGCATCCTTCAGTCTCGAGAGACTATGGTAACGTGATCTGAATAGAGGTCTTGGAACAGCGTCTAGTGTGGCTGAGAAGGCCAGTTTGAGAGTGACCATCCCTTCCACACTGAGGACAAATCCAGCTCCCTGATTTTCCTGCTTTTGTGACTTCCTCTTTGCCTCGGCCTGCTGGACAAGGGTCTCTTCAAATTGGGAGAGGCCGTGATGCACCGCCTGCCTCCAGGCTGAACGCTCAGACGTCAAGGTTTCCCATCTGTTGAGGTCCATTCCTAAGGTCTTCAGATCCCTCTTGCAGATATCCTTGTATCGCAGCTGTGGTCTCCCTCTGGGGCGATTCGCTAATTCACCATACAGGAGAATGTGTAACACCCCCACCAAAAGAGCATCGAGATCAGAGCCAAGGTGCCTTAAGTCCTTCAGGAAACACTGTGAGCTGCTCCATCCTGTGTCATTCTCTGTGCAGTTCTGGATCTCTCAGAGAAGATAAATGACTATGTCACTTATCAACTCAGAGCCCATACAAGAACCACTCTTCCACAATAATGCACACACACTTGATCCTAATTGCAAAATAGCATTTTGATCAAGTTAAATTAACACAGCAAAGTGAAAAGAGAAAGGAAAAAAAGAATAGTGACACAAGTCTTTCTCCTCACACTACAGCTCTGCAGGATTACTCTTGTATGCAGGCATGCATGCACACACATTTGTGCCTGCACATGCATGCACGCAAACATCCTGATTGCTCCATGGTTTTGGTCTCTGGCCGCAGAGGTTGGGAGCTTGATTTCCTACTGTGCCTCTTTGACAAGGGCTGGACCTGATGATTCATAGGGCTGGGATGACTGTCAATCTATCCAGCACTAAAAACAAAAAAAATCCCTCCTGCCTCAGATTTCAGAGAGACCCCTGCCTCTCTGCTTTACAGTTTTTCCCCTCCTTTTCTTCTTTGTAGATTAAAGTCAGCCAGTTTGTTGTCTGCTAGTAGTCTGTTAAGGCTTGTTGCTGAGAGGCACTCATGTTGATTCCTAGTTTGCTGTCAGTAAATGAAATTTTTTTATTCTTTCTCATACAAATCTCTCAGAGCACGTTATGGAGACTGTAAGTGCCAGTTAATGACAGAAAAGCGGTGGTCTACTGTGGGGAACCTGACACTAATTCTGCTCTGCAAGTCACTGCACTTCTGCTGTACAGCTAAAGGAACTTAACCAAAATTCAATTATCTGCAGCAGAAGCTATCTTCAAGTCACCTCACATAATTTCCTGAAAAAGGGGGAATATACAATCGGGAAATGAATTACAAGGAGTAGAAATATGAAGCCTAAGATTCTACAATGTGTTTGAAAATCTAAGCATTGTTCATGCCTGGCTATCTCTGGCTCCATTCATCTCTAAAACAATCAATGTCTCTTAACCTTTTAGGGCAGCTCTGAACTACCTTTTCATTGAAGAACAACCAGGCAGGGCAATATCATAACACATCCCAACCTGTTACATGAGCTCATTTTCACATTCAGTTTCAGTGTAATTGTTTCATTCATGGAGAGCTTTTGTTAACTCTCCTGTTATCTCTTTCCTCCAAGTCCTCATTGTCAACCTCTTGCCTGCCAGTGCAGAAAGCCCAGCCTATTGATTTTAGGAGGCAGAGATGAACAAGTTTAAGTACCTCCCCCAGTTGCTGAGACCTTCTGTCTCAGTTTTCTTGTGTGACCGGTACTGGGAAGTGTTTTCCAGCACCAGGGGCTTGGACCGTAGAGGGGCATGTGTTATCCTTGACTTGATTCTGACCAAGAGAGATGGCTTGGTGGGCGAAGTGGCAGTAAGGGGAACTCTAGGTGAGAGAGACCATGACCTTCTCAAATTCTTGATTTCAAAGGAAACGAAAGCAGAGTGAAGCCGCACACGTCTGCTGGATTTTTTTTGAAAAGCCAGTTTTAATAATCTCAGAACAAGATTAAGTAAGGTCCCATGGAGTTTTTTGGTTCATAATTTGGTCCATGCCCATCTCTAGACATGAAGGATTGAGGGACGGACTTAAAATATCTTTAATGTATTTTCCAGGCAAAAGGATTCCTAGAGCAGTTTGTACCTCCCTCTGGTACAACATGCAGGAAACTGAGTCAGACCTGTAAATGGGACAGGGCAAATGTGTGGGACCTTGACTCAGGCAATAGTTCATAATCTTGGGCCCCCCCAGGCATTCCTAGATAAAAACACCCAGAAGCCTTCACCAACTACCTGTGTGGGCTAGGATTTCTGGAAGTTGTAGTCCAAAAACACCTAAGGACCTAAGGCTGGGAACTACCGGACCCAGAGCACTGAAATTTGAAGGGCACAACAAGTTGCAGCTGGAAGGATGAAAATCTGCCTGAAGATATTTACTGTTGAAAGGGCACAAGTCCAGCCACTGTGAACCCATAAACTGTTGGGATTGGTTTGGCAGAGTTTGGTGTGAGGAAAATTAAGTGTAGCTACACAGCAGATAAAAATGGTTCTGGCAGGAACATACAGATCCTTTATTTGTTAGTTTACCTCAACTGGCACTTACCGGTATTTGTTTCAATACATTCACTCAGAGAGTATGGTATGAATAGGAACAAAAGATTTCATTTTACTCACAGGTCTTCTTGAATTCTACACTCTGCCTTTGTTTCCTTTGAAATCAAGAAGCCCTAAGAGGAATGGCAGCACTCTTTGCAGACTTTGGACCCATTTCACCATCTCCTCCTCCTCCAACTTTGTTTTACCATATGACTTGATGATCTTAGTGCTGCTGGGATTCTAAGCCCATTGACCGGCATTCCCTTCATGCTCCTTCCCATGCTCAGTTGGATGAGCATTTTCCTCATCCACTCACAGAAGGATGGAATCATAGAGTTAGAAGGGTCTATAAGGCCATTGAGTCCAGCCCCCGTCTTAAGGCAGGAATCCAAGCCAAGGCAGATCTGACAGACGGTTGTCCAATTTTTTCTTGAATGTCTCCAGTGTTGGAGCGCTCACCAGCTCCTTGAGGTCATGGGTTCAATTGTTGTACTGCTCTCACAGTTAAGACATTTTTTTCCTCATATTCAGCCAAAATCTGGCCTCCTTTAACTTCAGCCCATTATTGTGTGTCTTGCACTCTGGGATGATCAAGAGCAGATCTTGCTCCTCTAAATGACAGCCTTTCAAGTATTTGAAAAGTGCTATCCTATCTTCCCTCAGTTTTCTTTTCTCAAGATTAAACAGGCCCCATTTTTTTTATGATCAAGAGCAGATCTTGCTCCTCTAAATGACAGCCTTTCAAGTATTTGAAAAGTGCTATCCTATCTTCCCTCAGTTTTCTTTTCTCAAGATTAAACAGGCCCCCCCCTTTTTAAGTCCTTCACAGGGCTTGGTCACCAGTCCCTTGATCATTCCACAATTCCTCTGAGCTTTCTCCAGTTTGTTGGCATCGTTCTTAAAATACCATGTCTAGAACTGGACACAATACTCAAGGTGAGGCCTAACCAGCACTGAATTATGGGGAACTCCCAATCCTTGTTACTGTGAGGTTGCAAAGGTCCACCCTCACAGTTCAGATTTTGTCTCATAAATCCCAGGCAATGGGATGCTGCTAACCATTATGACGGGGGAGAGGAAGGGCAAGGAGACCAAACCAACTGTGCATAGAGCACAGTGTACCTTTGTGTTGTCATGGGGGAGAGGAAGGGCAAGGAGACCAAACCCACTGTGCATTCCTCTCCCTCATAAGCGCTGTCTACAAACATAATCCATTAGACAACTGCAGGGATTGGCCGAGATGTATGTCTAGGGTGATCAGATCAGCAGCATCTCGTTCTCTGAAATTTCAAGGTTAAAAACATAGAGCAAAAGTGTACCTTTGTGTTGACATAAAAGTGGAGAGAGAGAGAGAGAGACAGGTGAGGGCTGGGAAGGGAGCCAGCATTGCTTCTGGAAGAGTTCACTGTGGAACCAGAGAGAAGGAGACCCACTTCCTGCTTGTTCCCAATGGCATGGTGGGTCAATATGATCCAGTATGCCACAGACAATGTCTACAGAGATTTCGTAACTGATGTCAATTCACTTCTAAAAGTTACACCATTTGTGTAGCTGCAAAATAGCAAAGCAAAGTGGGCTGCTTATACAGCCCCATAGCACTCTCTAGGTGGTTTACAATTTAATTACGCAGGCCAGACATGGCTTCCCCAGCAAGCCGGGTACTCGATAGGATTGTAACAAATAAAAGAAAAATGAAAACAACGGCGCTAGCCAATCTGTCCCAGGAACTTTTTCAAAAACTATTTTCAACTAAAATGAACAAAATTACTTGGAGCAGGCTGTACGTTAGATAACACTGAATGTGCGTACGTGTGCATCTGTGTGAGTGTCAAGCTATAACGAAGTGTGAAAGGAAGTGGGTGGCCATAACTCACCTTCTCCCTCAAAAGGGGAAAGAAGAAGCTGTTCACACTCTTGCATGGCAGCATCCCATGAAATAGAGAAACATCATGTCTATAATAGCCCTACATGGAAATTCTCACCCCCTGGGAAATTAGATTCATGGGAGCATGGTATCATATGTTTGTGAGGCATGGGGGATGTTCGATGAATGGTTTACCATTGCTGCCCCCCAGTGAGTTTTTATGGGCAAGAAGGGATTTGAACCCAGGTGTCCTGAATTCTAATCTGACACTCCACACATTACACCACCCTGGCTTTCTTAATTATTGCTGCACTATAGGTAGGCCTCCTTCAGTCTCGAGAGACGATGGTCACGTGCTCTGTATGGAGGACTTGGAACAGCATCTAGTGTGGCTGAGAAGGCCAATTGAGGAGTGACCATCCCTTCCACACTGAAGACAAATAAAATCTGTCCCCTGTCCAGCTCCCTGATTTGGCTGGTTTCGGGACTGCCTCTTTGCCTCGGCCTGCTGGACAAGGGTCTCTTCAAATTGGGAGAGGCTGCGATGTACCGCCTGCCTCCAGGCTGAATGCTGAGACGCTGCACTATAGACAGCTCAATTCAGCATTCCATAAGGCAACTTAAAAAAATATTAAGAGATGCTCCGAACAAAAAGTTATGACTTCGAATCTGCTATTCACACATGTTGAAAAACAGCCCTGACAACTGCTTTGTGTTTGGGTGAGAAGTGGTGAAGTGAGAGAAAACTTCTACAGTGCAGCTTCTGGTATTTTTCCTTGTGCTAAAAGGAGTCAGCTTCTGGTATTTTTCCTTGTGCTGTGTCACTTTGTAAGTGGTAGTGAGCAGAAGAGGGGATCCCATAGACCATCTTGACAGTTGCCATTGGTGTTGTCAACATTCAGGCTGCCCTTTGCTAGGTGAAGCTTAGCATCCTTATTCCTGCTGGCAACATGGATTCACTATTGCACAGCTATATTGAGCCATTTCCTGGCTTTTTCAATTATGGGTACAGAAACAAGTAGGTATTTTGAAGAACTGAGTATCCTGATAAATTGGTCATATCTTAGCATTCTTAATATCTACGTCCTTTTAAAACACTTGAAGGGATCCCACATGGAAATGGAATGAGCTTCTCTTCTGTGGTTCTGGAGGGTAGAATCTGAACTAACAAGATGTCAGTTATAAAAGGACGCTAACTAAACACTGGGAAGAAATTTCTGACAGTAAGAGCTCCTCAAGAACAGAATGGACATCCTCCAAAGGTGGTTTTTTTACACAAATTCCATGAATATGTCTTGGAAACATTTTAACAGTGGATCTCATGTGTCACAGGAGGTTGGACTTCGGAAGATTTGGCATCCCTCCCAGCTCTGCAGTTCTGTGATAAGATGGTGTTTTTTTTGACCAGGGGATTGATGGTCACACTGGCTCTGTCCATCCCAATTTCTGTTAAAAGGACATGGGTTGGAGAGAAAACTTCTACAGTGCAAGAACTGCACCATTTGGGCTCCCAACTGTCAACAACGCCTTCTAGAATCTTCTTACATCCTTTCTCTGATTGGTTCTCATAAAGCCAACAAAGTTCCGAGGGCTTTGTCTCAAAGGAAAATGGAGTTTGGCTGAATTTCTCCCTGCTCCTCAGTAACCAAAGGCTATGGTAAGTTTATTGACATGCGGGCGGGGACATTCGAAGACTTGCAGTCCAAGAAAATAATTTTTTCTCCTATTACTGAGCTGTTTATACAATGAAATACACAGACTCTGAAATAACAGCACCCAAATTCTCTGAATTTTCTCACTAAGTGGAAATGTTTATGGGATCGCAAACAGGGGCACCCCTAACCTTCAGCAGAAGGAGACAACTGATTTTGGATGTCATGAAAGAGCACAAAAGTGTTTGGTTATTCACTTCGTTCTTGGTTACGTGATCTATGGCCTTATGCACTGAAACAATTTGCCTGACATTGCATAGTAGGGATGGGATGTTTTGAATTAATGATATCCCAGTCCCCAAATTTGGTGGAAGTACCAACTTGGTGGGACCCTCCCCTCCATCCAAATTATGGGACTTGGAGCCCTCAAATCAGCAGGAGGTAGAGCAGCCCTCTTATCTACAGGCCATTTCTGTGTTGCTTTTGCAAACTTTTAGAAAAATGTCCCACTGCATTGTGGGGAATCGTGAAGATTCCTTGCCCCTTGCAATAGCACATGGGGGGACCCATTCCTCAATGTACCTTGGTTAAGTTGCTGAGAATTCTTTTGACTCTGACAATGCAACAGGACACTTTGCTAACAGCTTGAAGCAGCACCAGAGTGACACAGAGGTAAGAGGACTGTACCGCCCTGGGGGATTTTCCACCAAATTAGTTCTGTCAGTTCTGAAAATCCCACCCCTATTGGTTAGTGAGAAGTCTCAAGGCTGATTATGTGTTCTTCACAACCTGCAGTCAGATCTTCATGCTAGTGACAGACCATTCATTCTTGTGAAGGCGATGGTGATCTCTCAGAAACTACCTCAGAGTGCCCACCAGACTAGCAGATATGAATAAACTATGGAATGAGGGATTGTTATCTGGCAGAAATAGAAAGGCATTTGGTAAATGAAATTTTATCCCAGGATTGTTATGGAGATTGATGGAGAAGATCCGTGAGTGGTTTCCCCACTCCTGGCTGAAAAAAAGGAAAATTATATTCCAAAAGCAGGCAAAGTATGTGTGGGCTTATATAAGGTGATGAGCTGCCTCTGTCCAAATTACTGGATGGACTGCATCTCCAAAGCCTGCCTCTAACCAGAGGCTGCCTCACAAATTTTTGCCATGATTTTTGGGGGACATTCGTTTATAATTTTTTTCTGCACTGTGTGCAAGTTACTGGGGCATACCTGATGAAATAATTTTTAAATCACCAAAGTTTGCATTAATAGTTTGATTGTGTGTTGATGTTTTTTTGCAGTCTAATAAAGGTGTCACATTCTTCAACATTTATATTGTGCAAGGATCATATGGCTGCCTTTGAATTTTGTTAAAAACAAGGATAACCTTTGGCTATGATGAACTTTAACTTATGATGGTGGTCACCACAAATATAGTCCACAAATTTAGACCCAAATGCTTTGGGTCATTCCTGATCATCAATGTTCTGAATTTAAGGACATCCCTCCCCACCCCATGATAATTCCATTATCAAAAGATTGATTGATTGATTGATTGATTGATTGATTGATTGATTGATTGATTGATTGATTGATTGATTGATTGATTGGCTTTTTACCCCACCCCTCTAGACCATGTCTACTCGGGGCGGCTTACCAAATAAACTGGCACAGTAGAAAAAGATAAATAAAATCATAAAAATTTCGATTGCAATTTCAGTTAGAACAATTAATTTAAAGAATAGAGTGCCAAGATGGAATAGCATAAAAAGGGGAAAAATGAGTAAGATTTAGTTGACTGGAGGGAAGGCCTGCTTGAATATCCAAGTTTTTAACTGGCTTTTAAAAACACCCAGCGAGGGTGCCAGCCGAATTTCTGTTGGGATGGTATTCCATAGCCGAGGGGCCACTGCCAAGAAGGCCCGGTTTCTTATTTTTTCCTTCCGGGCCTCTCTTGACGTCAGACCCCTCAGCCATCCCTGCTGACTATGTCAGGTGACTCGGGTAGATCTGGGTGGGAGAAGACAATGGATTAATTTAAAAAAGCATGGGTGAGGATCAGTGTATCCACACAGATAGAACCTTTTCTCAAAGGTCAAAGGCAGCCACCTTTGAAAACCACAAGATGCACAGCTGGACCATTGCGCTTATGTTCCACTTGTAGACATATTAGAGATAATCCTTAGCTGACAGAAACACATGCAAGGGTATTCTTATCTTCTTAAGAGAGACGCAAGATTTAATGCTCTTCTCACAAGATCATGCTGTTAATTTGCCTATAGGTGAACTTCATTTCTGACCCTGTCAGGAGAAAGCATGGAGAAACCACAGGAAAACAAGCAGGGAGTGCGCAAAAACACACAGAGAGTGCAAGGAAGCCCGGGAACAGAAAGAAAAGAAACAAAGAGTCCACAAGAAAGCACAGACAGTACCCCAAAAGGCATACCGAAAACACATTCAGTAGCAGAACCGGTAGCAAAAGCACATCCCAGTAAAACGGTGAGCTTAGAGGGAAGGTTTGTCCAAGTGACTTGATCTATAAGATGATGGAAAACTACATTCGTGGTTAATTGCTGACCAGGTGAAAGCTACAGCTGATGCTTAAGTCTACATTGTTTGAAACCATGTTTGAGTCGGCATAGTGTAAATGCTCAGGCGGCCAACTTAGTGCAATCAGTTGCATTGTTCATGCCTTGACTGTGCAGTTCATGTTGCCGTAGCACAATCAATGGCAATCAATTGCACAATCAATTGCACAGTTCTTGGTTGTGTGCTTCACAGCTGCATTGTTAATCATGCGGTTCAAGTCACAACTGAATTGTATGACAAGCCTATGGAAGTGCTTCATGAATATTCAGTTCTTCAAAACACCCTCTGGTTTATGAATAGGGGATATTATGCTTCCTGGATCCCCAATTCAAAAAACGCCAGGGAATGATACAATATTACTACACAATGTCATGCCCACATTGCCAGCAGGAAAAAGGATGCCAAGCTTCACCTAGCAAAGGACAGCCTGAATGTTGACAACACCAATGGCAGCAGTCACGATGGTCTACAGGATACCCTCTTCTGCACACTACCATTCGCAAAGTGACACCAAGCAAGGGAAATATCAGAAGCTGACTCCTTTTTTCATCAGTTAACCACTTCTCATCCAAACTCAAGCAATTGTCTGGGCTGGTATTTTTTTTTACAATTGTGACTGTGCTAAATTTGGTGCTTATCCAAAGTCCAGTTTCAAAATTATATATATATATATATTGTTTAGGATGCCCACATGTTTACAGTTGCCTTGTAGAATGTTGATGTGATCTGCTGCACAGTATCTAATGCACACTCTCGTGCAGCAATAATCAGTTCCGCTCTATCCTATTTTCCCTGCTGCTTCCATAGTTTTCCATTATGCATGCGTAGCTGGGCAACAGAGTTCCAGCCATTATCATTTTATTTATTGGCTATAACATTTGTTCTCCACACTATAGATTTCAGGACTGGTTAGCATCAGTAGTATACCTTAAAGGAATGTTTTAAAACATTTTTTGGGGGGGGGTTAGTTTCCTCTCTCCCCAGACACAAACTTTTTTTAAAAAATTAACTGGTTCGTCGTTGGTTTTTTAAAAAAGAGTTCAGATGGTTCACAGTTCATGGGTAGCCACAAAGCACCATTTCTGTTGCCCATGCCCATCTCTAGAACCAACCACTGGGACTGCCTTTGACCACTGTCAGGTAACAGTTGAGAAGAGTTTTTTTGTTACAGTATACAGTGGTGCCTCGCATAGCGATTGCTCTGTTTAGCAACAAAATCACTTTGCGATGGACTTTTTGCCATCACAAAAGCGATTGCTTTGCTATGGTCCCTATGGGCTATTTTCGCTTTGCGATGATCTCAGGGAAGCGATCATTGCAAAGCCTCAATTTTCGGCCAGCTGATCGGCGGTTTCAAAATGGCTGCTGGAAAAAAACATGGCTGCCCACTGTGTTTTTGCATGGATTCCTCGCTTTAGAGGCACCGAAAATGGCGGTGCTATGGAGGATCTTCGCTTAAAGGTGAGTCTTCAGCCCACAGGAACACATTATTCGCATTTTAATGCGTTTCTATAGGCTTTTTTATTTCGCTTAGCGATGTTATCACTTAGCAGCGATTTTTATGGCACGAAATAACATCTCTAAGCGAGGCGCAACTGTAGTACATATAACATAGTTTAGTAAAGTTTTTGGCACGAATTAACATCGCTAAGCGATGTACATATAACATACAGTAGTTTAGTAAATTCTGTTGTTATGAATCATTTATAAACATGTTGCTAATGTTTTTTATAACATGTGTCCCTGTTATATCTGTGACAGCCCTGCTCAGCTGAAAGTGTTTGAAAAAGATGTTAGGATGAACTAAACATTAAAGCCCATTAGGGCATTTATTCTAAATTTTGTTGAAACAAAAGAAAAAAGTTACGGAAATGATTTGGGGTACAGTTTACTAAATTATCCAAACAGGTCAAAAGTGACTTTTGTGGATAGTCTGAAGGACTGTCCCCTCTCTTTCTCCTAGAGTTGTTACTGTGCTAGATGCAAACTATTACCAAATAAAACTGCCTTATCCAGTCCTCTGCTGCTCTTTTCCACAGAAGCTGCCAAAAAAGCTCATTTGGATTTCTTTGATTTCTACCTTTTTATCGATGCAATACGGTTACAACATTTGGATTGTCAACTCTCCTACTGTGGTAAGAGAGAGGGCCCTCTGGTTTGGATGATGTCTTAAGGCATGGGGAGTTGACTAAACCTTTGTTATTAATAATTAGGAGGGGCAATCTGCATTTTTGTTATTTATCCATTATTTTCTTTTTGGTAACAATGTTTGGGAAGAATAGCATTCATCCCATTAATATGTGGTTGCTTTAAAAAAAAACAATCCTCAAGGAAAAAGATGTGCAAGCTACAATCTGTGTAACGCATGCGCCTCTCCAAGCAATACAAGATAGAACATCTTGTTGCTTACGTCTTGAGCCTATTCCTCTTTATCTATGCTTCTCAGGGACGGTGTGGGACTCTACCTGCTTAACATCTGCTTGGTTAGGCACGGGATCTCTCTTACATACTACATCACTCTGTGCAACCACAGTTTTACAACCAAGTAGAAGCCATTGTTCAGAAAGATCTGAGGGCTTACCTCCTATCCTAGAGGCTAAGTGAAGAATTTCAACCAAATGGCACATCTCTGCCATGACCATCTTGGGACTTCCCATTCAAAATACCCCATACCCAAGGAACTGAACTTCATTCATGAAAGCTTGTGTCGGATGTTTGATTTTTTAGTGGTCTAAATAAAGGTATCATCTCATCTAAATATGGACTGTGCAAATAGAGTTACCTTAATTCATTCATTTCTCCAATCATGATCAAAATCTTGTTTGATAGTGTAGGATAAACGGTGTTGTTTCGGGAGGATTAATTGCCACAGCTGATGAAGTCAGTGTGGACAACATCCGTTTTGCACTGAATCATGCAACTCTGCACTGACTTTGTAATTTGTAGCAGTTCACTGTCAAAATTTATGCTATTTATGTTCAGCTGGCAAGAGGATTTTGGTGGATGAATATACCCTTTTTGTAGAAGGATCATTTACTTTCAATAATTTCCCTCAGGTGAGGAGGATTCCCCTGGCAGTACAATAAGGCTCAACTGGCTTCATAAAGCAGATATCACAAAGACAACATGGACATCTTTATTGACCCCGCATAACGCCTGTTAAACCCCCTTGCTAGCTACTGATGTAAGCAGTAGATTGAAATGGGTCAATTCAAGTTGATTCTGATACAAATAGAATAAAGCTCAGATTTTTGATTACGTTGATACATGTCCAGGACAAAGTGGGACATCTTGGCTGCTTTCAGGCATTCCGCTTTGGAGCTGGGCTTGAAAAGACCAAAGTGGGTGGAGAAAAGGAATCTTGCGGGTAACCACAGTTTGTGACATTGCACCCTACTCTTCCTGCATGAGGCCATTCTTGATCACAAAAATATCTCTTGAGGCATCCGCCTTTGCTTGCAGTTTCTCAGCTTTGTAGAATGTCATCCAGCGTGTGCCTCAAATCTGAAAAAAAACAACAACCCATTGCTGAATAATAACCACTGAATGGCAGAGACTGGTAATGGGGAAATGTGGGTTTATCTCTGCCAGGTCTTCTACACGTCATGTTTTCAGGTAGGCAGCATCATGGATTTTCATGTGGGGTGGGACATAGGCCAAGTTGTGTGTGAGTCAAAAATGTGCATCTTATAAATATGGATTACCAGCAGGTGGGAGTGGCTGTAGGGCCCTCATAAATACAGTGGTGCTCCGCTTGATGCTTACCTCGTTGTATGACGAATCTGCTGTACAATTAGTTTTTTGCGATCGCTATTGCGATTGCAAAACGATATTTCAGTGGGGTTTTTCATTTGACGACGATCGGTTCCCTGCTTCAGAAACCAGTTTTTTGCTTTACGACGATCAAAAACAGCTGATCGTTGGGTTTTCAAAATGGCTGCTCACTGTGCAAAACGGCTCCCCGCTGTGTTCAGGATGGATTGCTCACATTACAGGCACTGGAAAATGGCCGCCCTACGGAAGATATTCGCTGGATGGTGAGGTATTTCACCCATTGGAACGCATTAAATGGTTTTTAATGCATTACTTTCACTTGACGATTTTGTTCTACAGCAATTTTGCTGGAACGGATTATCGTCGTCAAGCGGGGAACCACTGTATTTCCTTGTTGGACATAGAAGTGCTATATAATGTGTGGACTATACCAACCATGGTGCATTCCTTTCCTAGCTCCTGCAGGACTTTTACAACATATCAACATATGAAGAGTTGATGGATCCAGATTCACAGACGTTCATGATGTCAATCACCATTGCTTTGTTCCCACTTGGAGGCATATTTGGGGCACTTGTCTTTGGCTATTGTGCGGATAGGTTTGGCAGGTATTATGTTGACATATAAAGCCCTTCATGGTTTAGGATCTTGCTCCTTGTCTGAGTGCCTCTCCTTTCGATGTCTACCCATCCCACCTGCACTTCATAAGTGCACAAGTGGCAAACTTGAGGGAGGCCTGGAAATTTGCCATCTGAAACCGGGCATTCTCTGTGGTGGCCACATCACTCTGGAATTTACTCCCATCTGAGTTGCAATTAGCCTTGATTTTAGGATAGTCCAAACAAATTAAAACCTAGCTGTTCTCACAAGCCTTTTTATGCCTTATCCCAGACTAATCCTGTATCAAGTAATCAGGCTTAAAAAAAAATCTCTTGTGCCTATGTGTTTGCTATTGTCTGCCATCTATGACTATAATATTCTCCAACTTGCTTTTTTCTTTGCTATTAGTGATCCTAATTTTAGAGATTATGCTTTTTTGTACATGGTCTTATGTGAATTTTATTATTTGGATTTGGTATCCTCATATGCTATTTGTTTGCAGCCCAGAGTAATGGCTTTGGCATAATAAAATAAAATAAATAAGCCTATGAATGATGTGTCCTGGATCTAAATAATGTGTGTGTCTGGGGCAATGGCATGAGGTGTCTCCTGATTCAGAGCAAGATATCCTCACAGTAAAATATAATTTAAAAACAGCCCTATTCAGTTGTTGTTTACTGTGTCAATTCCACATGTGAAGATAGGAGACTCTAATGGAAAATGCTAATTCTTTGAATTTTTTTTCCCTGTATAAAGAAAGTAACCATGGAGGGTGAAGCTCAGCCACACTCTCCTTCATACGTTGAACAAACATGGCAAGGAATAACTGAATAGGGCTCTTTACTTCCAGATCTCTTAACTTCTTCTTCCTCCTCCTCCTCCATTCTGGAGTTGATTGGTGAAGCAAGCCCCCCAAAATACTATGACTGCCACTGACAGACAACCAGTTAACACAACCTCTGCTTTAGAGGTGACCAGCTAAATGGTAGGAATGCAGAAAGAAAGAAAGAAAATAAATAAAATAAACTAAACATGTGACTGGGCTCCACAAATCACAGTTGTTGAGTATATACTCCAGATTATTTATTTATTTGCTATCATCTACATTTTTCAGCTTCTGCTAGGGAGAGGGCTTGGAATCAATCCCCTGTAGATACAGGTGCCCTCCATCCATCCATCCATCCATCCATCCATCATCCATCCATCCATCCATCCATCCATCCATCCATCCATCCATCCATCCATCCATCCATTTTCATCCTTTGCTCTTTTGATGATGTTAATTAGCATCTTTGTACCCCTCTGCCTTATCCTTCTTATCTTTCCAGGAAAGGGACGTTGTTGATCACCAACATTTTATCCATTGTCTCTGCTATGCTCATGGGTTTATCCAATAAGGTGCAGCCATTTGAATTCACCATGTTTGCGCGCGTGTATACAGGGATGTGCACGGGTGAGTTGGATTCCCAGTTTCAATGCTTTACATCCTTTGTAGTCTGTAATCTGTCTGGAATGCATGCCCTTTGGCGAATTTTAGGGAGGTCATTGTAACTGCATGAGAGCACAGCTATGTTTTTTGCACAACAGAGCCAATCAACATTTTGTAAGGCAATTCTAAAAACGGGAAGAGTACAAACAGGACGTTATAACTTTGAAATTGGATTTTGGTTCAGCACCAAATTTGGCACAGGTGTGCCAAATTGGGGAGGTTTGTGTGTGTGTTTAGTCGTTTAGTCGTGTCCGACTCTTTGTGACCCCATGGACCAGAGCACGCCAGGCCCTCCTGTCTTCTACTGTCTCCCGGAGTTGTGTCAGGTTCATGTTGGTTGCTTTGCAGACACTGTCCAGCCATCTCATCCTCGGTTGTCCCCTTCTCCTCTTGCCGTCACACCTTCCTAACATCAGGGTTTTTTCCAAGGACTCTTTTCTTCTCATGAGATGGCCAAAGTACTGGAGCCTCCGCTTCAGGATCTGTCCTTCCAGTGAGGTTTAGACAATGGGTTTTGAAGTTATGATTTTTTAAAAAGTAAAATTCCTCCTGTTCAGAAATAAGTGATTCCAAATGACCCCAAATTTAAAACAGATAACATAAAATGAAAGAGACCAATCTTGCTTGTCTTAAAAGAGAATGGTTGGGCTCATCTACTGTTTTTATTTGGAAAGAATCTAGGCTGCGGGGGCTGAAAAAGTGATCCTCCAAAAAGGCCTTTTGAAAAGGAAAAAAACCCAAATTTGTTAAATGACTGAGCATGTATGGAATGGGATTGCCAGCAAGAGCTTCGAAAAATGAAATTTTGTATACATGCATAGCTGGGGGAGGAAGATATTTGGAGAGAAATATCACAGAAACAGACTGGAAAAAAAACAAGTTTGCTCTAAAGAGTAAAAACAAAACAAAACACAGGTTTACTTTAAAGAGAGCAGTGGAGTGACAATACTCCAGAAAGGGGGATATTTAGTAATGTATCTTCACAGAATTAGCATACAACTTTGTGAGGTGTGGGACGTGGTGGTGCTGTGGGTTAAACCACAGAAGCCTCTGTGCTGTAAGATCAGAAGACCAGCAGTCGTTAAGATCGAATCCATGTGACAGAGTGAGCTCTTGTCGCTTGTCCCAGCTCCTGCCAACCTAGCTGTTCAAAAGCATGCAAAAATGTGAGTAGATAAATAGGTACCACCTTGGTGGGAAGGTCATGGCCTGTGTCTAGTTGCACTGGTCACGTGACCACATAAACTGTTCATGGACAAACGCTGGCTCTATGGCTTGGAGACGGGGATGAGCACCGCGCCCTAGAGTCAGACATGACTAGACTAATGTCAAGGAGAATCTTTACCTTTACCTTGTAAGGTGTATTCAAAGTATTTTCTCTTACCATAGAAAAACATATAGCAGCTCTGTTTTGTTGTATCATTATTAGCAAATATACTCTAAGGATCGCTGAAACCAAGCAGTCTCCTCACATAAATTTTCAAAGGAGAAATCAACTCTCAGTGCAGTGCAATCTGAACTTTTGATCCTGACAGTCAGGAGCTAATTAGCCGACTCTTAGTTAACTTTTCAACTTCTTTCCTGGCCAAGCAAGCTTATCAAAATGACTCTTGCAAGAGGATTCTGTGTCTGGTTGTAAAAAGAGAGACCTAAAAAGAATATTAGTTTTTAAAAATACAAATACTATAAATTTTTAAGACTACATATTTTTAAGAATATATACCCTGTTTCCCCTAAAATAAGACCTAACCTGAAAATAAGCCCTAGTATGATTTTATAGGATGCTCGTAATATTAGCCCTACCCCAAAAATAAGCCCCAGTTAAGTGAAACCTCACCTTCCACCCTTGTGCAGCAACCAGAAGAAGATGACATGACTGTATGTTGAATAAATGTGGATTGGTGTACAATGTACACTGTACATAAAAATCCCCTGAATATAAGCCCTAATATGTTGTTTATTTTTTTTTTGGAGCAAAAATTAATATAAGACCCTGTCTTATTTTCCAGGAAACAGGGTATATATAATTTATGTATGTATTTATTTATTTGATTTATACCCCACCTATCTGGACCAATGGACCACTCTAGGCGGCTAGATAAGGATAATGAATCAATATCCAGAAGCTCACAAGTTTAAGTTCTGAAAATACCATTTTTAAAATTTTCTTGCAGGGGGTGGTTCTACTTGATGTTTGCCAAGCTTTGGTGCCTTTATTCTGCCATAATTCCCATTCCATCTTGTCAATATATAATTGCTTTGTAATTTTAAAAAAACTCAAAAGATGTTATGTGCCATCCACTCACTTCTGATGTGTGGCAACTCTATGAGTTAATGACCTCCCAAATGCCCTGTCATTTAACATCCCTGCTCAGATCTTGCGAACCAGCAGCATCTCGTATTATCTTGTTATCTTGGAATTTACACTTGAAATATTTACTTTACTTTTCTTCCGTTGTTGGTTGGTTGTTCAGTTTTCACTCGTTAACTGCCCAGAACAGAACATTCCACTATAGGGGGGTGATATATAAATAATGGATTTAATGTATACGCAGCATGCTTTTAAGTATAAATAAAATAGTTTGTTCTCTCTTCCTCCTGCTCCCCTCTTCCTAGCAATATATTCCAATACATTCTGCTCTGGTCTTGCAAATTAATAGCTGTGGATTTCTTTGTTGAATCAACCCATCTTAAGCTACGTTCTCCTCCTTTTTTAATTTTTATTTATTTATTTATTTTTACTGTCCTCACACCACTTTTCCCAGAAACACTGTCTTTTCTGGTCAGTTCTTTATTCTTATTATATATGCAATTCAGATAGCCTTAATCTGGCCGGGATCTGATGGTTGTTGTAGGTTTTTTGGGCTGTTTGGCCGTGTTCTGGAGGTTGTTCTTCCTAACATTTAGCCAGTCTCTGTGGCTGGCATCTTCAGAGGACAGAAATCTGTGTTCTGGTGTAGTGTGTGGGATAGTCAAGTATTTGTAGCTGTGGGATCAGCAGTTTATCCTTTTCAAGGGATTGGGTGATTATGGTGATCAGCGCGTTTTTTGTTGTGGGTGTATTGTTGTGATAAGGGGGAGAGATGATCCTTCACTGTGATTGATGGGTGTTGTTAGCTGGTCTTTTGTGTGCAGTGATCACCGGTCCTTGTGGCTGGGTAGAGTTCGTTGACCTTTTTGCAGGCTCTATTTTCAGTGCTGGGAGCCAGGCTTTGTTGAGTTTTACACTTTAACAACAACAATCCAAAACTTCCCTTCAAAACATTTCGGCGCAGAGGGACTGAAGCAACATCCCAACTGCCCTTGATTCTGCCTTCCCATACCAACCATATTACAGGTCATATAATCAACTTCTGGGTTCTTCTAGCACTTTAGCAGACCATCTTAACTGCTGCCATTGGTATTGTCCACACTCAGCCTGCTCTTCGCTATGTAATCTTGGCATCCTTTTTCCTGCTGGCAACTTGGTCATGATATAGTGCAGCAATATCAAGTCATTTCTTTGAATTATGGACATAAGAAGCAAAAATGCCACATTGATAAACCAGAGGTGTTTGGAACAATATGGGGAGTGGCAGACCAAAGAGGCAGCAGACTTGTTTGAAAGGAGAGTTGAGAATTCAGTTTTACTTTGCAATATTTCTTGCTGCTATTGAAAAGGCAAATCATTTTCTTGAAATCAGACACTGGCTTGATTCTTTGGCAGAAGAATGTTCTCTTGCAAAGTGCAAAGAAAGCACTGGTACTAGGTCCAAGCTTCAAGTGCATATCTATTCCACCATTTGACTTCATATGCAGGTTTCCAGAATTCTATCTTAGACCTCCAAAGATAGTCATGGACTGATATTAGAACTCTGTAGAGCCAGAAAATGCATTTATATAAAACCGGTGAAGAAAATTGATAAATTAGCCAGGTGTCCAGAGAAGATGTCAATATGTTCATGTATGAATTAAAGCAGCATGAATTCCACTGTTATAAGTACAGTGGTGCCTCACTAGACGATGATAATCCATTCCACTGAAATCGCTGTTTAGCGAAATCATTGTCTAGTGAAAAGCATTTCCCCACTGGAATACATTGAAACCTGTTTAATGTGTTCCAATGGGGAAGAATCATCGTTGTCTAGCGAAGATCAGCCGTAGGAAAGCCGCTTTGCAAACCACCACTTTGCTAAACGAATTGCTGTCTTGCGAAGCTTAGGTCCCGAAAACACCTGTTTGTGAGCACGGAGGGAGCTGTCAAAATCGTCGTCTAACGAAAATTGGTTTTCGAAGCAGCGACCAAACATCGTCCAGCAAAATAATCACTGTTTTGTGAATCGCTATAGCGATCGCAAAAAGCCAATGTCTTAACGAAAAAACTGTCATGCGGGGTAACTGTCTAGCGAGGCACCACTGTACCACATTTCTATTCCTTTAAAAATCACAACTGTTTTGCTGATAATTTTGTCACCTATGTTGTACCTGATAGAGATTAGGTATGGGGTAGATTTCAGAACTATCTGATAAACACTGCAAGAGTCACAGCAAATTAAAAAGTGCTATAACTTGATATGTTGATTCTCTGGATTTTTCAGTCTTTGGACAAGGCATATAATAGACTTCAGTCAAGTTTCAGCGAAAACTACAGATGCTCATTTATTCAGGCTCAAGGGAGGAAATCCTTCATTGGTTCTGTGAAGGTTTGAGCAGTGGTTCTAAACATATTGAGGTTTTCAATGCCCCACTAAACCCTAGCAAAATTATCTCACACAGTTTTTCCTCCCGTAGGGCAAAATCCTGCTTGTACTCTCATGTTTTTAAATAGCTGGTGGACCATCACAGGAAATCAACAAAGAAGCAGAGCTTTTTTTTTATCCTTTCCCGTTTCTTAGAAGCGGATGGCATTTCAGGTGTAGCATAGCTGATTCTTTGATTACTGTATCTACTGAACTCTGAATACAGAGGTGGAGGATATTTTGTGTTGTGCAAGTTCAAGTTTTGATTTTCTGTTGCCTAGAAATAAGGGAAATTTGCAGGGATTTGCAGTTGCCCTTCTAATTAGGCAGCATAAAAGGGGGGGGGCTCCTATTTAAAAAATTCTAAAACTCCAGACAGGTGAGATGCAGTGGGGGTTTGTCAGATTTGAGTCTTCGTTACTAGAGGTGGCTATTTTCCAATTTGTATGGAAATAGGATACACCATACAGGTGTCACTAGCCAAGAAAGCGACACAATTTCAGAAGGATAGGTTTAGGTACAAAAGTGGTTTTCTCTGGCTTTGACAGGGGAAGAATTGGCAAAGGGGAGAAAGGTCGAAGTGTGAGAAGCAGTTATGAAAGCATTTCTCTGGACCCCTTCTGTAGGGTCTAAGATGCTTTACAGAAGAAGCTCGGCAACTTTAACATATCTATGGAATCATGGTACCTAATTTTAGCCAGGGGCTACTTGTGCACATTACGAATGATGGAATAGCAGAATTCAGGAAATATCTTAGGGTTGATGGGTCATTACCATATCTATCTCCAGGGGTTTCCTAGACTTTAAGAATATTTGCATGTGTCTCTTCAGATCATGTTGCGTGTGCATTATGAATTATCCCTCCATTTATGTTATCACCAGGCCTCGTCTCCTGTATTATCCCTCTATACCTCAGTGAGATCTCTCAAACAAGCATGAGGGGAAGCTTTGTCATGATGCACCATCTCCTTCTAACCATTGGAGTTGTGGTGGCTCGGGTACTTGCTCTTCGCGAACTCCTTGGGACAGCAGAAGGTAATATCGCAAAACGCATCATTTTGCTTGACTGAGTTCAGCTGAATCATACAGGTTCTTTAGAGCTGGTAATCAAAGAAAATAAAAAAAATCAAAGACAGGAGCATACATCTGGGGGTACTTTGTAAAACAATAACAACAACAGTTGAAAATAAAGAATTTTTTTTTGTGGGGGGGAGAAATCAACAAAATACAGGGGCCTGGCAATAGAAATAACTTGCTTTGGTTAAAACACATTTCAGTAGCACCCATAGTTGTCAGAGCATTGAGAATAAAACTGCAGAATTTAGCAAAAGATTATAATCAGCTGCAGATCTTTGAAATAACACTATCAGAGCTGCAAAAAAATGACAATATTAGTAGTAGCATCTATACTATACCGATATTTAACTGATACTCAGATTTTTGGTTAATATTTGCATCTTTTATATAATACCACCAGTCAAAAGACTGTGTTGTTGTTGTTGTTGTTGTTGTTGTTGTTGTTGTTGTTGTTGTTGTTGTTGTTGTTGTTGTTGTTGTTGTTGTTGTTGTTGTTGTTGTTGTTGTTGTTGTTGTTATATGTCTTCCAAATTATGAGTTATTCATTATGCTTCTGTCATCACGGCCTCTTCTTCTAAAGGTTGGCCAATATTGATGAGCCTTGGTGGAATCATGCCTTTATTTCAGCTTGGCATGTTGCCCTTGCTCCCTGAAAGTCCAAGGTATCTACTGATTCAGAAGAAGAAAGAAGAGGATGCAGTAGAAGGTAGAATGGCTCTATATCGGGCAGAAAGCTCTAGATTGTGGGCACCCTGCATATCAGTGGCCATGACACATGAGGATGTGCAGACGTGGTCCTCTATTGGCTCTTCTCATGACCATCTCACCAGAGACGGTTGGTTGATTTGTTTTGTTTGAATAGGGATGGTTGCAATTTTAGGCGTTCCCCTGCCAAAATTTGCCTAGAATCTCCCAGGCAGACTTCTGGGACTGGGAAGGGAGAAGCCTAGCCCAGTGATTCAGCCATCTGGCTGCAGAGCCAGAGGCCGGGAGTTTGATTCGCAACTGGTCCTCCTTGACAAGGGCTGATGATGCACAGGGTCTCTTTCAGTTCTGAAGCAAAGGAGGAGGAGGAGGCCTCCCCAAGTTACATTCCTTGCTAGCAGTTGCCTCTTTGCTTCCTGGGAGGGCATACCCTTAAGAGCCACCACCCCACCTTAGAACCTAAGGGGTAGCAAGACTAGCTTTCCCATGGAGCAATGAGTAACTTTCAGCAAGCAGTGCAACTGAAGGGACATTCTCTTCTGCTTCCGAGACGATCCACATGGAGTGAATTAGATAATGGCGGTAGGAAGACCTCTTTATAGCCCATTTCTTTTTGTTGTCACAGGCCGAGAAGTCAGCCCTGAGGGATTCTAGGAGACTTCTAGCACTGGAAGTCTCAAAATCATAAAAAAAATCCCATCTTCAGTTGCGAGAGATGTGGTTGCCCCCCAACCTCATTTATTTCCGAATCTTTGTTGTACAGATTACAGCGCAACTACTCCAAGCTGATTTGGAAAGAACCTAAACATATCTGTTCTTGGGTTCATGGTGGTATTTGTACGTTTCCAGATCAGTGTTAAACAAACACACTGCAAATGGGGGAAAGGAAGGGTTATACATCTGGCACTAGAGATGGGATATTTGTATTCAAATATCATATACGAATATGATATTTGTATTCTGAGACGAATACGAATATCACTACCAGAGGTGGCCAGGTTGATTGTAGACTCCCCTCAGAACTGGGCTGTCCACTTACTTCTGTGGTGTGGTGTACACAGCCATCTTTCTTTGTGCTGTGTCAATTGCGGAAGTAGCCCGTCTGAGGCTTCCCTGCCTTCCCGCACTACTAACCAATCCAGTGAGGAGGCAGGATGATGAGTCTCCCTGTTCAGTTGCTGAATGGTCAGCAGCGCAGGGAGGCAGGGAAGACCCTGGCCAGGCTACTTCCACAAACTGGTGCAGCACGAATGACGACGTCCATGCACTGCAAACAGTAAGTGGATGCCCCTGTTCTGAGGGGAACGTCCAATCGGTCCAGTCACCTGTGGTGGTAAGCTACATATTCATCTTCCCCGGGAGACAGGTATGAACATCCCATCTCTATTTGGGATGATGCGGAACCATCAGTTCTAGCAGTGAGGTGGGCCTGAAGCAGAGGAAACATTACACTTAAATTCCAGGCAGTCACAAACATTTCCAGGTGTGAGAGGTTGGAATTTGAAGCAGGAAAGTTGTAATGAGCCAGACCACTCTGAGTGCAAAGTCACAGCAGTACTTGGCAGAAAATGCAGGGAGGGAAAGGCTGTGTAGATGATTCTACGCAGTTGGTAGCCTAGCTTACAGAAACATGCTCGGGAAAAACACTGAAGAGATTAGGGGGAGTGCATCGCACTGCTGTGACGACAAAATGCACCGATGGTTTAACATGAACAGGAAGTGTGATTTGAATCGAGAAATCCTCGGCTCTTCTTTCTTTGCCAACGGACTGCAAAAGCAGCAGCCGCTGGCATTTTTTTTCCAGTGTGCAGACCATGGTCTAGAGCACTGGTTCTTAACCTTGGGTTACTCAGGAGTTTTGGACTGCAACTCCCAAAAGCCTTCACCACCAGCTGTCCTGACTGGGGTTTCTGGGAGTTGCAGTTCAAAAGCATCCGAGTAACAAAGGTTAAGAAACACTGGTCTAGAGGGGCGGGGTATAAATAAATAAATAAATAAATAAAAAGAGGAAACAAGGAACAAATTAGAAAAGCAAAGTGGTGGGGAAAGGCAATTCCTCTCCTTGCCTTATGATTGCCAGCCTTGGATCCCTAGAAGTTCTTGGACTAAAACTCCCAGAAGTTTTCACTTCTAGCCAGGATTTCTGGGACTTGCAGTTCAGGAACATCTGGGAAACCAAGGTCGGGAAGCACTGGCCTAAACATTGAAAGCCTGCACAAGAAAGGACAGTTTCATCCATCGGCAGTCTTGTTAGTGCAATGCAAAACTGTACATAGTTGCTAGTGTGACAGTGATGTGGAAACTTCCTTCCATCCTAGCTAAATGTGAAATAGATGGCTGCACAGTAGTAGGGGGATTTGCAGACCAGTGACTTCATTCTGACCCCTCCTTAGACACTTCTACGGTCTGAGTGATTGGACAACCCAACAGAGCTGTGGGACTTCATCGGTGGGTCACCTGTCAATCTCCTCCTATAGTGCAACCTCTCCTTATGCACCCATTTTAACTCAATACTGCCTGAGTAAGATTGTGCAACCTTTTTCTTCAACTACAGCTCCCAGAATTCCTGGCCAGCACAGCTAGTGGTGAAGGCTTCTGGGAGTTTTAGTCCAGGAACATCTGGGGGTCCACAGTTTGGAACCACTGTGTTACAGTCAACAGCCTGCCTTGGGGATGATCAGGAGTGTCATTGGCTATAAACAACTGTGGATACCCCTACTGTAGTCTGTTTTGCAACTTTTCTCTGAAGGAAGTGCACATCCTTAGTTCCTATTGATATCATGTCTTCCATGCACAAGTACATGTAAATACAGACATATGTACAAAAATGAATGGGGGTACAAAAGTTCAAGCATCTCAGAAACCCTCAGATATAATGAACACTTACTAAATTATTTGTTCTGCTTCACTTCACATGCTTTGGCTAGACAATTGACACTGTCTTGACTCAAGAAGACATCTTGGCAGGAAAGTTTCCCATTGCAAGCATCTTTCTCTCTAGCCATCAGAAAAAGAAAAGGCAACTTCCTTTTCCCCTGAGTAGCAAAATAACAGAAACATGTCAAAGCAAAGAACGTTTGATCATTTTAAAAAATGCAACCCACCCTTCCTTAAATGTCTAGGCAGAGTGTGAGCAATTGCTATCATTTTTGCACAATTCGCCTTCATTTGTGCAAAAAGTCCCCAAACCAAGCCTTTCTCATTTCTCATCCTTTCCTCTGGTTGAAAGGACCATAGAATCCCTTGGTTATTGGGTGCAGGAACTGATGCTCTGGTTCCTCTTCTTCATCTGTTGGGATGAGACAAGAGAGGGCTTTACGTTCCTGCAGAAATCCTGGGAATGGCTTGTGTCAGAACATTATTGCAGCTTCATAATTTCATCCTCTCAGCAGCTCCCCACCCTTTCATATATGACTTTTCTAAATTCTGTGCTGACAGAAGCACTTCATGGATAGCACGTCAACATTAGAGCTACTGCAGCTGAGATTTTAATATTGAATTATGACTGCATAGCTACTCAACAGGATTTCAGCCATGGAACCATTTCTTTGGGGTTAGGGTCCTGCTGTGTTGTGGGCCTGCCCTCCATGTTCTCCTCAGCGAGCCTCTGCCTTTGATGGCTCGGTGGCCTGGAAGTCTCCTAGCTAAAAGCCTTTTTGCCTCTGATTCTATTTAGTCCTGAAGAATCTGAGAGAGACGGAAGATGTGGAGGAGGAAATTGAAGAATTCCACCAAGAAGCCAACTTTGAGAAGACAGAAAAGAAGATTAACACACTTAAACTGCTCCTGCGGAGCCCAAACCTACGGTGGCATGTCCTCACCATCGTTGTCTTGATGCTAGGCCAGCAAGTCACGGGTGTCAATGCGGTAAGGAAGGAAAGAAAAATCCGAGACTGTTAGGAAGGTGAACATGGGAAATGAGGATTTTGGTATGAATGGGCCGTACTCAGTCCAGGGTTTAGAGGTATCACCATGGACATCTCAGCAATTTTTTTTGGAGGGGGGAAAGGGCATCTGGGAATCCATCAAGGCATAATACAAACTTTCTACATCTTCCCTATAGCACTTCTGGATTCCATGAGAGTCCAGAGACTGTTTTAAGATGTGAGCATATTCAGTGGCTGGAAGCCGTTCTTTGTTCTGAAGCACTCTCAGTCACCTATTGCTGGGGGGATGGAAGAAAAGGCTGGATTCTCACTTTGGACTTTGACTGCGGGAGATTGGGGCTTTCCGGTTTGAATGTGAATTTTTTTACAAGGGCTAGAGAAAGTGCTGAATGGGAAACCCAGAACAGGCTGAGCACCTCAGATAAACTCATTTAATGTTCAAAGTAGAAACATGGGCATGGGTTCATTGCTCATGTGAAGTTGTCCTGCCCTTAGATTAATAAACTGCCACCACCCCCGAAAAAGATTGGATTTACTGGCAGTAGGGGCTGTGTCAAGTGAGTGTGCACATGGTCACATGGTTTCTGTTTTTATCGATTGTGTAATGTGCTGGCAGAAGCACTTCATGGATAGCACGTCAACATTAGAGCTACTGCAGCTGAGATTTTAATATTGAATTATGACTGCATAGCTACTCAACAGGATTTCAGCCATGGAACCATTTCTTTGGGTTAGGGTCCTGGCATACACTTGAGTACACTTGTTGGCCAAAGGGGAGAGAGAAAAAATGATCTTATCACATCTGGCTAAACATACTTGTCTACTCACAATTCCTTAGACCTCAGCTACAGGGCACAGAGGGACTTTTTGAACCACAATTTCTCCAAAACCTTTTTTAAGGTGTCAGCATGGTGGGGCCACACTTTGACCACCTAAGCTCTACACCACACACTGGCGAAAATTGGTTTGCGAAGCAGGGACCAAACATTGTCCAGCGAAATTCCCCCATAGGAATCACTGTGTTGTGAATCGCTATAGCGAAAAAACTGTCATGCGGGGTAACTGTGTAGCGAGGCACCATTGTACATCATTTTGTAGATCAGTGTGATGATTTTCCTTAACCCCCTTTTTTTTTCTTGAAATGTCAGTTCAGGATGATGTGCCTGCCTTATATCTTCAGGAGCAAAGACAAAGACAAAGAATAGAGATTTCAGGACTAGTGAACACATGGATGCCACTCAAGCACCTCTCTCCTTGACAACATCTATTTAAAAAACAGTGTGAAATAATATTATTGCACACTGTTTCTCCTGCTTCTCTATAGTCAATGCCACTTGAAGTCAGACAGCAACAGTAGCTTGATGTGAAGATGCCATGTCATATTAATGTTTCACTTGACATTGTTGAGGGAGGAGGCAGGAGGGAGATACATGGAGCTAATCACATCGAGCCCTTCTTTTGAAAAGCAAGAGTGGCAAATCAGGAATCTCTAATCCAAGGATGAAAAGGGTGTGGTCATCCAATACCTTTATGATTCCCATCATCCCTCATCATGGGGTATGCTAATTAGGGACTGATGGTTGTTGATGTTCAACAACATAGGGCTGTATGTTCCCCACCCAATCCAATTTCACTAGGAGTTACTGAAGCTCTCAACTCTTATAATCCATAGTCTGGGGGAATAGCCAACTTCACCTTGAAATTCACTCCTCTCCAGGGCAAACTAACCATTAGTAGACATGGATTTCTTTCCTGGGATGGCTAAATTGTGCTCTGAAGCAGATTTGGGTGGGAGAGAAAACTGAAGGAGTAAACAGGGCCATAAATTCCTTATTCAGAATATTCTGTCCTGGTAGATCACCAAAAGAAAAACAAGTATGGAGGGAGAGAAAAATGGCATTTCATTTACAGGTCTTGTTGCCTGAAGAGTTCAGAATTTGACCATTGGGGAAGAAGTTCGAGTAGACAGCTGAATTCTCTAGTGAATCTTCAAAATCCAAAACGATAAATACAGAGGTGCCTCGATTTACGACCATAATCCGTTCCAGAAGATGGACGTGACTCAAAATGGTTGTAAATCGACGCACCATTTCCCATAGGAATGCATTGGGATGGGATTAATCCGCTCCAGCAGGAAAAATAAACACACACACACACAAAACAAACCACAGCCAGCCCCATCGCAATGCGAGGGGCTGAAAAACAAAGCAAAAAACACCCCCAACACACACAGTCAGCCCCATCGGAAAACACAAAAACACTCCCCCACACACAGCACAGAACTATAACCCCCCCAAAGCCCAAACCCATGTTGCAAAACAAAGTAAATGTACTTACTCACAAGCAGAAAGCAGCACCAGGCAGTCCGAAGCCTCCTCTGATGCACACTCTCTAACCGTTGTGGTGAAAGAGCTACAAAGAAGCTCTTCACCGACCAATGGTTAGCCTTCTAATTTGAATTCCCCACCTTTTCTCCCTGCCTCTTTTGATCGCAAGTCGAAGCTCCGACTGCAAGTCAAAGCAAAATTTTGCAGCCGGAGCTGCTCGCAACTCGAAATGGTCGTATGTCGGGATGGTCATAAATCAAGGCGCCACTGTATGCACATTTCAGTACAGATAATGTCAATTCCTTCTTTCAACTAAGGCTTTTAATTATTCTGGTCTGCTTTCAGGCATACTATTACACCACGAGAATCTATGAGGCTGCAAAAGTGGGAAGAGACAAAGTCCGGTTCGTTACTATTGCCACAGATACTTTTGTCTCCTTCTCGACCACATTAGGGGTAAGTTTCTCCCATTTTATCTCTCTTACCCCCTTATCCAGCCATCTTCTCTGAAGGATCAATCGTTGCTGCAAACTTTTGATTTGCCTGGAGAATAAAACTGTAACTTTAATACCGTTTGGCTCTGCAGCATCTCCTGAAAAGAGAATCGTTCAGAGCAGCTTTTTTGGAATGGATTTTTTTCCCTGAGGAATTGTTGGAATATTCTGGAAGTGCCGATGCACAGACCCATAGTTTCACATGCCTGTACACGTCTCTCTTTAACAATGCTGGAGTTACAGGCATCAGACCCCCATGGAGTTCAAAATCTGTGTATAACTCTTGTGTCCCAAAACCAACTTTACAAAGCATAAACAGTTGATTCACACATACACACACACACATCACAGTTCGATCTATTGGGGTTCTCTCCCATAGCGTTGGCAATCTTTTATGTCTGTGGTCCCCAACCTTGGGCCTCCAGATGTTCTTGGACTTCAACTCCCAGAAATCCTGGCCAGCAGAGGTGGTGGTGAAGGCTTCTCAGAGTTGTAGTCCAGGAACATCTGGAGGCCCAAGGTTGGAGACCACTGCTTTATGTGTAGTATCATCTGTATTGAGCCTTAGAGATCCTTTGTTTGGGCAGAGGTGGTTCTTCAGTTTTGAACCCCTGCCTCTAGTTCTGAGTGGCAAGGTATACAGTATGTATTAAATATTTATTTATTGAAATATTTATTTTTTAAAAAAATCTGTGGATAACCAAAACCAGGCTACTCAGAACCATGAAATTCAAGGAGAAATGTATTTCCTTCAATTGGAGCAAGGTCTACTCATAGGCTGCATTCTATGCTGCATTTCCTCCTTATTTCCTGCTGCAGTACTTCCTGCAGGAAGGTGTCACAGTGTTTCCTAGTGTCATGAGTGCAGCCAAAGATCTGGAATCTGAAGGGTTAACTGTAGCTGAGGAGAATGCTGAGCGATTAGAAATACAGACACCTGAATCGCCTACAGATTCTCCTCCCCCAGTAGACAGGCTGAGGGCCAGGCTGAGGGGAAGACTTATGACAAAAAGGTCAGAGGATCGCTTGAAGGCTGCCTGCAGAAACCTCCGATCAACTAGCCCTGAGTTCTGACAGGATGAAAAGGCTTCCAGCAGTTCAAGGGGCTGTTTTACTATATAAACAGCTCTCAGATGGCTGAAAATCTGTGGAAGCAACAAGTCAAACCTCTGGCTTACATCCATGCTCCTGGCAACCTTGAACCTTGTTCCCTGGACCCTTGGCTTTGGACTCTGACTCTGGACTATGTTGTGAGAGTTGGCTTTGGTATTTGGATATCGGCTCTGCATTCCCTGAATTCCTGACATAGGACTGGTTTATTGGACTCTGCTGTTGTAACCCCTGGGAATGTGACACCTAGGCATTTTCCAGGAAGCATATCATTAGAGCCTAAATGGCTGAGAGGCTGTGCCCAGGGAGCACTGTGGCAGCTTTCTCCAAGGCATCTTGTGCCAAATGAGGAAAATACCAGCATCTCAAAGTGTGGATCCACAGGATGGGAACTCTCAGACATTTGCTTGGAGAATTCTCTGAGACCTCTGGAAGAGGGAACCCCAAAAAAACAGGGCAAGGGGCAGGATAATGTTCCTAATGAGATTTCCATCCCTCCCACCCACCCGCCACCACAACACACTATTAACACCTATCATGACCAGCGATTATTTCACACAGATGCTGTTATTAGTTAATGAGGGTGTAAAGTTGGCTTACAATGTTGCTGCTGTCATTTGCTTTGAGTTCCCCCTTGAAGAAATAGGTGAGATTTAAACAGATAACATAAATAGATAATACTGTATTTTCTTTACATTCTTTCCAGGTCTATCTTGTTGATTCTGTGGGGCGCAGGACTCTGCTTCTAGTCGGCTTTGGGATATGTTCAGTGACCTGTATTCTGCTATCTATAACCATGACCTTACAGGTCTGTAATTCTGCATGTTGCAGATTGAGAAACTCAGTCACACTCAAATGGGGGCCCAGCATCTGTAAGAAAGCAGAGCATATGCATACCAGATTTCATTTTTAAATGGCTTAAGATGTCTCCTTGTGTTCTTCAGGATGTATGGGACTTAATTTCATTGTATTTTGGGTGGCCAAACACCCTCATGACTGCCTCATACTCAAATCTGTTTGTGTGTGTGTGTGTGTGTGTGTGTGTGTGTGTGTGTGTGTGTGTGTGTGTATGTGTGTGTGCATGTGTGTGTGTGTAAGCACAATGAGACACAGCAGGCCAAGTAGAAAAAGCCGTGCATAGGAACACAAACATTGTGAAATGAGCCATCCTCTGCTTAGAATTCCAAATTTACCTGGGTTTTGGGCAGTACTACATGGCAGGCTGGAAGCAGCGATGGAGGCCCCCATGTTCCAGTCTTCTCCAGGATAGCTACTTGGATTCTGATCCACAATGCCAAATTACACAAGGACATTTCTCCTGAACTTTAGCATTTGCTCTGTTCTATGGCCCAGCTGTGCTGCAGAAGAATGGGTGTTAATGGCAAAGAATGGGTAACAATAAAGAATTAAGTAAACTAAGAACTATGATAAAGACCTAAGGGGTATATCACCAGTCTATAAGTACAACTCAGCAAGATTTCTCCAACAGGACATCTACCCGTTTATGACGTATATCAACACAGTTTTGGATGATGTGTTCCTCATTGGACATGGTTTCGGGCCATGTAAGTGATCCGATAATGCCCTGAATTCCCTGGATTAAAGATGAGTTTTATAAAGGCGATACCAATGGGTCCATGTAAAATGTCAGTCAATGCCTTGAATCTTTTCTTTCCACCAAGATCCGGTGCCCCCTCTTATCGTAGCAGAGCTGTTTCTTCAATCATCGCGGTCCTCAGGTTTCGTGATTGCAGGAGTTTTACAGTGGTTTTTTCACTTTATTACGGGAGTGACCTTCCTTCGAACAGAGGTGCGTTATTTTGAAAATCAGTCCAGTCCTGAGTGTGTGGGTTGGGGAAGTAAGAAAGCACAGGCCACTCAATCCTCATTCCTCTCCGATAACCCAGGCCGTGTGATGGAAATGATGGATTTGTCACCCTTATTTATCTCTTAAATTTCAGCAACATGTGGTATTTCCTCCGTCTGGTGCAACATGGCTGAGTGGATAGGCTTGGAGCTGAAATACCCATTTGGCCATAGAACCCATTGGACCGTTTGGATAAGTTACTCTTGATCTCTGGGAGAGTGGGTATATTTTGTCAACACAGAGAAGATTCTAGGATCAATTCCACAAAGGTCTAGGTAGCTCTAGGAAAGATAGGTGTCTGAGGCCTTGAAGACCTACCAAAGTTGATAACAGAGTTCAATGTGTATGGCAACTTTGGAAGGCCTTCTGTGTGACTGGCATAATCTACTGGCAGAGAATGGGGATTTCATTGGTCTGACTGCTGGATAGTGTCATATGCATGTGATATGCAGCCACCTAGAGTGGTCCATCGGTCCAGATAGGCGGGGTATAAATCAAATAAATAATAATAATAATATGCCAGAGGAATGGAGAACTCATCAGGCATGGAAGAGTAGCCGTGGTATGTAATGGCACTGCCTGAGACTAACAGTCTGATGTCTTTGGATTGTTCAGGCTCAGTATAGGTGCAAAAAGCCTGGTGTTTCACTTTCCTTTGTTCACCTAACACAGTGGTTCTTAACCTTGGGTTAATCAAGTGTTTTTGGACTGCAACTTCCGTACCAGCTGTACTGGCTGGGGTTTCTGGGAGTTGCAGTTCAAAAACACCTGAGTCACCCAAGGTTAAGAACCATTGACCTAACAGAACGAAGCAACGCCTCTTGCTTACTGCTTCCATGCATCTGAAATTGTTGCTTTCAGATTATGAATGGGTTGTACAATGCAAATTTTGTCTTAGCCCATTTACCAGCCACCCAGGCTATTAGCAAGGACTGAGAAGATAAAGAAGACTCTACTTTGGTCTCTTTGAAGAGAAATCCCAGAGGGATTTGGGCCTGGCAGATTAATTATTGTCTGGTCTACACAATTATCTGCCTCCTGGGACCTTAGAGCATGACTACATAATGAGAAAAAATCCAGATGGATTCACTGTTAATTCACACTTGGCCCTTCAGATTTCTCTGGGTCAATTTGCCTTAGCTGACCAGACAGGAGTCAGGAAAGAGAGAGGAGGAAATCTCTCCTCAGAATCAACCCTTAACAGCGGCTTGCTAAGGCAGCTTTAGCTATAGTTCTCTAGATTTGCAGGAGGTAGGACGTGGTGGTGCTGTGGGCTAAACCACAGAAGCCTGTGCTGCAGGGTCAGAAGACCAGCAGTTGTAAGATCGAATCCACGTGACGGAGTGAGCTCCCGTCGCTTTGTCCCAGCTCCTCACCAACCTAGCAGTTCGAAAGCATGTAAAAATGCATGTAGATAAATAGGTACCACCACGGTGGGAAGGTAAAACGGCACTCCCTAGTCACGCTGGCCATGTGACAACGGAAACAAGCGCTGGCTCTAAGGCTTTGGACAAGCGCTGGCTCTAAGGCTTGAAAATGGGATGAGCGCCACCCCCTAGAGTTGGACACGACTGGACTAAATAAATGTCAAGGGGAACCTTTACCTTTACCTTTATGGCTACAGCAGAGCTACTTTAAGAAGCTGCAAAAAAGGGCTGACCACCTATTTTATTATCTCTTTCTCTCTCTTTCTCTCTCATTCAATCAGTCTTTGGGTCTCCTAGATGCTGGAGTGCTCCATCACTGGCACCAAGCCTTGAAAGCAAAAGAGTTTGGAGACAAAGGTGCTTGGCTGAGAGGAAGTGACACTTGTGCAAATGCCCTTTCGCTTCCTTCCCCCTCACCTTGAACTAGGAAACGGGGACAGCCTACTTTGGTTACCTCTTGAGCCACAAAGCTGCACTGGCTCAAGTATTCACATCAGCCACACTGATGTGAATGCATTCGCCACCAAAAAAAGCAGAAGCCCTAGTGACAGAGGAAAACAAATCAGATTGGGAAGAAACACTCCAAGCAGATTCACACTGACTTATACATTACATAGCCAATGGAAAATAATACAAAGCTGACCATCCCACTTCAAAGGAGCCAAGTGTTTATTTATTTATTATATTAATTTGATGTGTATATTATTTAACTTGATAATGTTGACTATTGTTGTTGATTTTTGTTGTAAACTGCCAGAATCGCCCTGGTAGCAGGCAGCAGCAGCAGCAGCAGCAGCAGCAGCAACAATAACGCTACTGCTACTAATATTAATAGAAATAAAATCCAATTTCCAGTGCTTTTCCAGTATACTTTTCCAATGTAGTGGTCCCATTAGCGAGGATTATTCTGCCTTCAGCTCTTTTTCTGAGGGAAAAGAAATCTCTGAAGAATCTTAGCAAAAGAATTCATGTGGTATTCTCCCCACCCCCATATGACCCCTTTTTTCTCATTTCTAGAATCGTCTCAAGGGTTACATCTTCCTCATCTTCTGCCCCCTCTGCATCGCCGTCTTCTATTATATCTTTAACTTTGTCCCTGAAACCAAAAACATGACCTTTCTGGATATCAGGAAACTCATGGCGATCCAAACAGCCAAGAGAAGCAAGGTCAAGGTACACGTGGATAAATAAAATTTCAGGCCTGTGTGGTGTGATCCAGATGACTGAGGGGATCCAGGTCAAGGGGCAGACATGCAGACCAACGGGACCATGTTTCTGTGCAATGCTTGACTTTTTTGTTTGCTTGTTGGTTTGATGGATATTATTTTTTTTAAATAAATGAAGTCCAGCAATGGCAAGATGGCTGTTGTTATTTTTTGTCTGTTTGTACTTTGTGGACAAACAAATGTGGGACGTGGTGGCGCTGCGGGTTAAACTGCAGAAGCCTCTGTGCTGCAAGGTCAGAAGACCAGCTGTCGGAAGATCAAATCCACATGACACAGTGAGTGCCCATCTCCTGTCCCAGCTCCTGCCAACCTAGCCGTTCAAAAGCATGTAAAAATGCGAGTAGATAACTAGGTACCACCATGGTGGGAAGGTAACGGTGTTCCATATCTAGTCGCGCTGGCCACGTGACCACGGAAACTGTCTTTGGACAAATGCTGGCTCTATGGCTTGGAAACAGGGATGAGCACCGCCCCCTAGAGGCAGACACAACTGGTTTAAATGTCGAGGGGAACCTTTACTTTACATTCATAATGTGAAACTCCTCTTATCAAAACATAGTCTATATTTCAGACCCCAAAGTCAAGACCCAGGGGGAGGCCATTGTAATGTCATAGGGGTCTGGCCTTACTATGTCTAGTTTCCTGTCATGTAACTAACAATGTAAAAGGGACGTGGTGGCGCTGTGGGTCAAACCGCAGAAGCCTCTGTGCTGCAAGATCAGAACACCAGCCATTGTAAGATCAAATCCACACGATGGAGTGAGCTCCCGTTGCTTGTCCCAGCTCCTGCCAACCTAGCAGTTTGAAAGCATGTAAAAATGCGAGTAAATAGGTACCACCTCGGTGGGAAGGTAACGGCGTTCCGTGTCTAGTCATGCTGTCCACATGACCACAGAAACTGTCTTTGGACAAACGCTGGCTCTACGGCTTGGAAATGGGGATGAAGACTGCCCCCTAGAGTCGGACACGACTGGACGATTTGTCAAGGGGAACCATTGTCTTTACCTTACTTTGTGGACACAGGGCTAATACTGACAGCTTTCTCCAAAGCACCAGTCTTCATTTGTTGGCAAACATTTCTTGTCTCGTGTTGTGTGAAGAGGGACATTTTTAAATAGCAAGGACCCATGTAGGGTGGCCGCTTACACTACACCGAAAAGAAGGACAGGGGTGACCAAAAGGAAAGAAAGGTGCTTTGAAAAACGGACATGCATGAAATTGCACATGCTAATGTCTACAGGAACGCATACTATTGATGTTCCCCACTGTCCACTCTAGGTTAGAGATGCCAGACGTAATTGGGAATGAACCTCTGGGGTTCTAAAAAGGCCACTTCAAAGGAGCAGAGAGGTTTATTTATTGTTTTATTTATTTTATTTATAATATTTATATGCTAGCTTTCTCCTAAAGGATCCAAGGTGACTTACGGTACTAAAAGAAACAAAATCAAAAGCTATAATAATAAATTATTACAATATGTTTTAAAAATTAAACAAATATATTAGAACTTGTAAAGAAGAGCGGTATTAAAAACACAAGTAAAACAAGAGAATTGAATTACCTCTTTCAAAAAAATTCCCTTGGTCAACCAGTTATTTTAATGGAAAACCTTCCTGAAGAGAAGGGTCTATGTGATTTTATTCTATATTTTACTTGTGTTTGTAATCTTGCTCTTATTATGAGTTCTACTATAATATTTGTTTAATGCTTTTTCAATATTCCAATCATTTGCTATTTGGCTTTTAAATTTGTTTCTTTTAATATTGTGCGCCACCTAGGATCCTGAGGAGAAAGGCAGCATAAAAATACCAGGGATGGTGGCAAATCTTTGGGTCTGAGTCCCATGTCCGGGTCTGAGCCTTTGGTACCTAGTCCCAAGTCCGAGTCTTTAGTCCCAAGTCCCAAGTCCCAAGTCTGAGTCTTTGGTACCAAGTCCCAAATCCGAGTCCTTAGTCTCAAGTCCCAAGTACGAGTCTTTAGTCCCAAGTCCCATGTCTGAGTCTTTGATACCAAGTCCCAAGTCTGAGTCTTTAGTCTCAAGTCCTTTGGTCCCAAGTCCCAAGTCCCAAGTCTGAGTCTTTGGTACCAAGTCCCAAATCCGAGTCCTTAGTCCCAAGTCCCAAGTCCGAGTCTTTAGTCCCAAGTCCCAAGTCCCAAGTCTGAGTCTTTGGTACCAAGTCCCAAATCCGAGTCCTTAGTCCCAAGTCCCAAGTCCGAGTCTTTAGTCCCAAGTCCCAAGTCCCAAGTCTGAGTCTTTGGTACCAAGTCCCAAATCCGAGTCCTTAGTCCCAAGTCCCAAGTCCGAGTCTTTAGTCCCAAGTCCCAAGTCCCAAGTCTGAGTCTTTGATACCAAGTCCCAAGTCCGAGCATTTAGTCCCAAGTCCCAAGTTTGAGGATTTAGTCCCAAGTCTGAGTCCTTGGTACCAAGTCCCAAGTTCAAGTCTGAGTCCCTATTAAAAACAAGCTCCCCCCCCCCAGAGAAAAAGAGAGTGGGGTCCGAGTCATGAATCAAGTCTGAGTCACTGAAAAAAACAAACTGTGTCAAGTCTGAGTTGAGTCCGTGGTGTGACTTAAGTACGACGTGACAGTGAGTCCTGTGACTTGAGTCCCCATCCCTGATAAATATTTTAAATTAATTAATTAATATTTCTAAGCTCTGGCCAAGATAAGACTCCATCATGGCTACCCTAGCGATATCTCATACCCCCTACACATGCCTCCCAGTCACTGAGTGTCTAAGGTTACGTCGTTCTACTCTCTGTTTTAAATGGTATGGTTGCTTCCTCTTCTCATGATGCTTCCTCTTCTCTTCCCTTTCCTTCCTGTTGCAAGAACTAGTGGAAAAGATTTAGAGTTATAAAACTTACCACCACTATCAGGTACCTTCACTGTTTTTGTTACTCTTTTTGGATTTTTTTTTTAAAAGCACCCTAATTTTATCTGATAGAGGAATGAGAAAATTAATTACATGGAAGATTAGTGGGACTACATTATAATAAATGAATGCCACAGAAGGCATGAATGATTGAAAATATAATATGTTATAAACTGAAACTCTTAATATTCATATGTTTCATTTAATAGAATTCCAGTATATTTTGGGGCAAATCCATTTGGTAAGTAACCGAACTCTGTGATCCCGGACAAATGGATCATATTCCATGGAGCTTCCTAATGCAGCTCATGAATAACAGAAAAGTGCAGCCGTGGACTAATTCCATATGCCTATACCTCCTGTGAGTCCCACTGCCACCGCCCCCCATGGGGCCCTAAAATCCCGTATGGTCCAGCCTGGTTTGATTGCTCATGGCAGCTGTTATTAAAGGCCCTACTGTCCGGTCCCCCACTTTCTTAGGAAGTTGAGTTTACATCACTAACCCCTTGAGTACAGCTGGGCCCCAATATAGTTCATTGGGGTCCCTGGATGTCCAGGTCCAGGGAATTGGGATGGGGGCATATGTCATGATGTGGGGTGCAGTCCTTTTAGGGATGGCTGGTAAAGGCAGGTGGGGGGTGCTCCATGAGGCTGCTGTTCCTGGAGCCTCCTTTACGGCACTCATTGCCACTTGGATCTCCCATGCCAATGTTGGGTTGAGGTAGCCTCCATGGCTCCCATTGGGTGGCAAGGATGTCAAGGCTGAGATGGCGCTGGGTCAGGTAGGAGACGTGTTGTCAGAGACTCAGCTGCCAACCCCTTCCATGGCTGAATGGGCTGGGCAAGAGGAGGTGGCTTCCCTTGTGCTATACCAGTGGTCCCTAAACTTGGTCCTCCAGATGTTCTTGGACTTCAACTCCCAGAAATCCTGGCCAGCAGAGGTGGTGGTGAAGGCTTCTGGGAGCTGTAGTCTAAGAACATCTGGAGGGCCAAGGTTGGACACCACTGTGGTATGCCCTCATTGACACCTTTGTGGAGGAACAGAAGATGAATTTCTAGTGCTCCCATGTCTCCCCTTCATCTGTCGTGGTTGATGATTGACAACCTGCCACTCCTGTGCCTTTTACTCCTGCCACAAACACATATCCCTGCTCCAGCGGTCCCACATCGGGCGGTGGACCATCCTCCAAGCTGTGGCACTGCATCCCTGCTGATTAGGGGTGCAGGAACTTACTCTCCCTCCTGGGATCCCCAGGGCCAGACAATTCACTTGGGGTGCTCGAGGTGCCCTCCACACCTCTCTACTCATCAAAGACCTGCATTGCCTTTTTAAATAAAAGCAAAACAGGAATGGAAAATATCATTGGCATTTTAGTGATGGGAGAGCTGCCCGGAGCTTGGCAAAATGATCTCAGTCTCCTCCCTCCAAACTAGAGGAGCTAGAATCATTCCTGCCAAGCCAAAATAAGGTTCAGAAAAGATGGTCATCTCCACTGCTGGTGGCTCTTCTCTCTCTCTTGCCCCGTGGCCTTTTGCCCTAGGGCAAAAGGAGGGAGAAAGAGTGGGTGGTATATCAATTGCTTTCTTCCTATTACATCTCCCTGGCATAGATAACTTCCCCTGGGTTTTCATATTTTGTAACCTGGCATGTGGCTAACCATGGTGCCAGGAAGCAAAAAGAGCAAAGAAGATAAGAAGTAACCAGGGACAAACGTCTGCTGTAAGTCCTCCCTCCATGTTACCAGTGATCCTGCTAGCCTTTGATTTCTCAGGGAAGGAGAGGGAAGGGAAGATAGTAAAGGACTGTGTTTTGGGATGAGAGGAAACAGGCAGTGGGGACATTCTGGAATGTGAAGAGTGAAAGGATTTGTGGGAGGAGGAAGAGGGAAACCAGCGGTGCTTCCACCTCTTGGGTTTTTGATTCAAGCTGGATAAGAACTTCAGTGCTTCAAATAACCACCTCTTTAGGTCTTTACAGTCTTCTGGATTGCTTCCCTGAGCCTGGGTGGAGATAGGTTTGTGAAGAACCCTATTATGAATCTTTGCATTTACCAAACATCACAGCCCTAGTCTAGTGTTACAGCCTGAATCCAGCTGAGCTTTGACGTATGGTGGTGATTTGGGGATGTAGGAGTGGCCCATTTCCTTGCCCCATCAGGAAGACAAGCAGATCCTTGTGTGTTCACATCAAAGATCAAAAAGCCATCTTGTAAGTGCTTCAGATAGTTCTGCTTACAGTATTGCCGTGAG